CAAAAAAATACATATTGGTGTGTGTAGACAGATTTTCAAAATTCCCATCAGCTCAAATAACATCCAGTACATCGGCAAAATCTATTATAAACTTCCTTAGTAAATACATTGCTTTACACGGGATACCTAGAACAATTAGAACAGATCAAGGATCTGGTTTCATCTCCAAGGAAGTTAGAGAATTCTGCCACGATCACAACATAAAGGTGATATTTAGCCCAGTGGGTGATCATAGAGCTACGGGATTAGTGGAACGCCTAATCAGGACCATTAAGGAACGACTCCTGGTTATGGCACAAGAACGTCCAAAACCTTCACTAGAATCCGCACTCCTGAAAATAATAAAATGCTTAAGAACAGTAACTCAACAGTCGCTTAACTGCTCTCCTTTCGAAGCACATTTCGGTAGATCCCCAAACACTATCTGGCATAATTTGGTCAAATCACCCTCTTCGAATAACCTTGATTGGAACAAAACTTTGTTATGTATAGATAAAGGCAAAAAACTAATGAGCCGAGAGCGAAGACATGACTGGGATGCCCCTGACGACATAGAAGATGGAGATGTCGATGAAAATTCATCATCCTCGGAGAATATCTCAAATGCCGTGAGATATGTACCAACAAGTGCTGGATCCCCAGTAAAAGTCCTCTCCCGGTCAGAAAAAAGAGATGCCTTGGGCATAAAGGACTCAATTCTGAACAACCCGTCGGGTAAGACCATTGTTTATCGAAAAATCCAAGATAGAATGAAAAATGAACCATACTATAGAGTACTTAAGGACAAAATCGTAAGGGAATCAGATCACACTGTGACTCTAAAAAATGGTAAAATAATACGTAAATCTGATTTAGCCATTAAAAGACAGTGCACCCAGAAGAAACCAAGTCCGAGAAAACGAGACCAATTAGTTAGATTTTATGCGACTAAAGGATTGAGGAAAACTGCAAAACCTCCAAGAAATATCGGATTTAAAAGCTCAAAAACTACCCAAAAGAAACGAAATCTTCAGTGGAAATTTGAAGAGCTTGACATTGCGAGGCGAAACGCGGCCATGAACAGTTCTAGGGAAACTCTTCTTAGAGAAGAAGAAGAACAGAGAAAGAGACTGAGAACACCGATTGGCCTCGAGAGCGACCAAGAACCAAGCCCGTCGGGCAAACCCGAACTTCTTAAAAGTTACCTAAATGAACCCGGAGTGACGATCGAACCACATGATGAGATGTCAGACGATAATGCTAGTGACTTAATGACACTAAGAGACCTCAAGGAGAAAACACTACTCGAAACTACGAAACGAGACGAACACCTAATGTCCGACCGAACAGATCCTAAGCTAGAATCATCAGACCACGCCGACCAGAAGGTCGAGTTAGATGAGATTCCTTTGATCGACTTGGATTCCGGTGACAATGAAAGAGACTTTCAAGCGACCCCACAGTTGATTCTCTTGGACACTAGGGAGGAGGGCGATGAAGCGATCCAAGAAATGCCGGTACTTCCAGAGAATCCCGGAGGAGAGTTCCCTAAACCTACTGGAGAACAAACCACCATGGCGGAGACGGGACCCAAACAAACACATTCTGACCGTTCTACGAAGACACAGAAATTGTCCGGTACTGCTAAAAGGAAAGCGTCATCTCCAATGAAATCACCACCCTCGAAAAAACTGTCAGAAATTTTTACACGTCAGAACACCAGACCTATGCGAACTAGGCAGCCTCCCAAGATGCTAGGCGAGAGAGTATTTACCAGTATAGTCGATCTAACTGAGGAAGATCGTGATGCCCTAGAATTCGGTTCACCTAGTTTAGTCTCAGTATGTTCAACGTTGGAAGCAACTACGGTAGAAATGGAAAGCCACCATGTCGACCTAGTAGACCTGACAACATTAACACCACCTTCATCTTCACGGCCTACTATAGTTCACTTGCGAGAAGAAAACGATGCGTACCCAAGTGACCCAAAGCCCTTAAAAACAGACGATCAAAAGAGTCCTGACAAGAAGGTCAAATTTAGCCCTGATGTCTGCTCCACGCGATTTAACCCATCGGGCCTATCTTACGAAATTTCAACTTCCACATTTGTCCCCATCGTACCTGACCCAGACTGGCTGAACACCTCTTCTATCATTTCGGCGATAGAACTCCTTGGACGGCCAATGACACTGGAGGAGTTAAGGAGATGGACAATAAATAAAGCAGCAAATCGGGAATCTAATTAGATGTAGAAACTCCAAAACAGATGTTATCAAAAACATTCTTGATCTACCAAAACTCCATTGTAAAACTCTTAGTACCTGTACGTCCTGTTTATTGTTGAATGCTACTAACATTCCATGACCCTAGAGTCATACAAACCTCTAGTGCTGTTATTTTAAGCCATAGTTATGATTGGTAACACTTATACCCTTGCTTTTGCCATAGAATTCAGCCCGAATCTCGTTATAATTCTGTTAACCCATGGGGCGCTACCACCGGATAACCATTAGATTTATCCATTTTTGGTTCTACCCAGTTATTTCGCTTATTCTAAGGATAACTCCCTGCATACCTTATGACTCTATTCACCCTGGTGCTATTTCAGTTTCTCGCTTGCCTATAGTCACCAGTCTACAGTTATTTCTTCCGACGAATACATATTATTCGATCTAAGGTGCTTTGTTTTGGAATTTTGTTTTTGTTTGTTGAACTTGCCGTCCGGCCCGTCGGGTCCGATCACCGGCCTTCCCCGTACTGTACACCCACCCTTTCGACCTGATAACCGTGTAATTGTACTTAGTTTATGATACGCCTCTTGGGCCCTTTATCAAATCTGTGTTCTTACGAATCTAGATCCACTCTCGGGGGTCCTAGACAATGCGCCTACTGATTCATTCATCTTAGTGCTTAATCATTTTTGTTTTGTTCCCTTCTGGTGAGGCGAAAGGGATAAATTATAGATAAAATTTCGCGGGGAATGTAAAAGTATTATGGTTTGTTTATTTAACCTCTGATCTTATCTTACCATCGACCTTTAAGTTGTTAATTTATATACCTGCCAAAAGCGCAACGGCTTTTGGTAGACTCTGAATTGGACACTATCTTTTATGATACGTAACAAATCAATCGCAACCAATTCAATCTTTTAAACCTCTCTTAACTTAGATAGAATCCCCGTCTTTTATTTAGTCTTAAATAAAAGCCTACAATTTTAGTAGGAATCTTAATCATCCACAGTCTTAATCTATTCTTAGTTTAAGTCACTCTTTTATAACACGAGTGGTATCCTAACTTTTTAACACAAACTAGCTTTTTCCTAATAGCAAGTATAAAAACTATTCAGTAACAAAAATAATAGATTACAGTTGACATATTTTTTAAATTTTTAATTCAATTTCTCCAGGTAATCAATGAGGTGTAAGAAAATCTTTCAAATTACTTGAAAGAAAAATGTAAGCCAGGGGTAAATATTCCTTCGCATTATTTGCGATGCAACGCAAGCTTAGAGTTGCGAGTTAGCGACTAGATAATGAAAGAAGAGTGTAACAAATAAAAAAATGAAAAATTTTCAAATGCCGTTGACAAAAATTGAAAACTAAACTTCAGAAAAACAGTCGAAAAAAGACACAACCATCACCAATAAATAAGTTTTTAGAATTAACCGAGCGACCAACAAAGCCCACAATACGTGGCAGACACGCATCAAGCCTGAAAACAAAATGCGCGAAAGAAAGTTGTAATCATAAGCAAATTTGGAGAGAATAAGTTTTCACCAAACCCAATAGTATCTCTAGATCAAAATGACAGGAAGCTGAGACCAAAATAGACAAAAAACAAGTTTGAAAATGTCTGATTTCTTTTTGATTTTACGAATTTGTTCATTTCTTAAATCAGCGTGGTCGGTGCGTTCTGCGCCCAATGCTCATCAAGCAGCTACCTTTTTTTGTATTTCTATTTAATTATGAATTGATTACAATTTATGTTTTAGTACCGGACAAGCACCGTATTTATAATAAAAGCCTTTTTTTAGTTAACTATTTAACTAGCTATTTCTGAGAAAATGAACTAAACAGAAGAGGCACTTTACTCTAAATATTTCTGTTGTCCAATAAACTGACAGTATTTCAAATACACGCCAATAATGACATCTCTACCAAGACCTGTGATATCACCGTTGCAGAATTGGTTAGAGGCTACAAACTATAAAATTGAAAACTTTTTAACTTTTCGGTAATTATTTCCACTGTTGAAACACTCAAGTTTTCTATCAGATTCGCTACATTTTTTAACCGAGAATTGGTTGAAATTATTTTTTTTTCTACAGTTACTGGGGCAAACCTTTGTAAAAACGCGAGTTTTTATTAATATTTCTTCTATTAATTTGATAGTTTTTAAGGAAGTATTTAGTTAACTTAAATGGTTTTTACGTATTAAAAATCCGGGGCATGCTAATGGAATATACTAGCGGAGGATTTTAGTAATCCCGTTGCAAAGTAAACACATCAAAAACAATCGAAGTTTCCAAAGCACTTTTTTATCAGATTGTTAATTTCCTGACGAACTTTAATTTCCGCAGGAACCATTGCCAATGATGGTACTTTGACATTTCAAAAATTGAATAAATCGGTTACAAAGACCTACGACTACAAATTTGGTAGTGCAACTTTTGGCAAAATTAGGATCTCTCATGTTTATTTTAAGTTATTTAATTAACACCATGGTAGGAAATCGACTACTGCTACTAGTGGTGGTTTGCAGTGACTTTCCTCTGAAACAGTAAATGAAAAATTGAACTAAATATTTATAAATCAAATCAGATATATATCACTCAACCATTTTTTCGTTGCATTGGATTTTGAACAAGAAATGGCCCAACTTGTTGTTTGTTTCTCTTCACTGTGTGACCCGCATAAAAATAGATCTTTTAAATTTGAATCAAATCACAGTAACGCTAGCTTTGGTTTCTAGCAGAGCTCAGGAGACACGTGTTTTAATAACAACTAGTTTTAATAATCTTGCATTTGAGCATTTCTACCGTCAACGTTTACCAGATTATAACACGCGCTTCGTTCTGTTTTCGTTTTTTAGCTTCACTCTATCTGAAAAACATTAGTTTAAAAGTAAGAAGAAAAAATGCCCCTTCCGAAAGCTGAAAATGATGATGATTCGCACTCGGAGATCAAGGAAGTCCCGAAAAGTTCATCTGTGACCTACTTCGCCGAGGGAGACAAATTGTATAGGAAGAATGAGTTCCGAAAAGCCATCGAGTCATACACAGCGGTCGGTATACAACTTCATTTATTTCCTCAAATGAATAAACAAAAGATGCTCTTTTCCAGTCCCCCCTTGATTTTTTTCAGTGTTTCGAGTTACAAAAACCTATTTAAAAAACTTCTGATGGTTTTAAGTGCAATAGAATGTGACAACATGAACAAAAGAGCCGGTTCTTACAACCTCTTATATATGCAAGTAGCCGTATGAACCATTTTTAATCCTCATTTTCTGTAACTTTCGGTGCAAAAACTCGCAAAGAGCCACAAATGAAACCAGAAATGGTTGCTAGAATAAGAATCATAACCATAGAAGTAGTTAGCACTAGTTCTTCTGCATCAACTTTAAGGGTTTAACGTAAACATTGGTCAAAGTTTCCAATAAGTGCTGAAAACGCCATTTCTGGCTCATTATTGAAAACATGGGCCAGCTGCACAGAATATTTTACTTTATTTGGGTCTCTTTGGCCTTTCAGGAGAGCTCAGAAGATATACTCTAAACTCTTTTTGAACATCCATCTTCGAGATTCTCTTAGATCCAGCCCTGGCTAACACCTTAGAAAAGACGCAAATCAAACACAGCCATAGTTGCCAAAAATCTTGAACTTGCTTGGTTTAAATTTTAGGTCAACATTCAAAATTTTTGTCAAAAAGGGGTTTTAATAGTGTTTTGGAAGTGGCTCGGAAAATCATTTTGGTCGACCTAAAAAAGGTTCATCAAAAAAAGGTAATCAAACCCGCCTATGCAAAGCATTCTATGCATTTTAATGCTTTGTTTGACTTTTTCGAGTCATCGGTCGATAAAAAAATTATGTAAAAAAATAAATACCCTGCGTCATATGTTTCTTTCGCATATGGTTAACAGTAGGAGCCATAAAAATAACAAAACTTCAAAGCTATAATTTTAAGAAGCACAAGTAATTCTAAAACGCACAAAAATTCCCCGTCTTAATTCTGTTGTCGAAGGTTAGCTAAAAAGTTTCGTTAGCAACAAATGTGTCAACACTGACTGCAATTTAGGCACTGGACCAGGCGGAGAAAGAGGAGGTGGACTTGAAGGCCAGTTACATTGCCAGGGCACTCTGTCATCTGCATTTGGGCGACAGTGACTCCGCCCTCGCAGACGCCGAGGAAGCTCTGGAACTAGAACAAACTTACACCAAGGTAGGCCTGAAACTAAACAGGTTATTACACAGGTTATTGTACAGATCAGATTCGGAATTTATTATGCCTATGCCAGTATCATAGTGGTGCTAAATGGAATATTATTTTGATATATTAACACACCAGCCGCAGTATAAACCAGCTACCATACAAATAAGCCAGTTATAAAAGCCGAGCAGTTACGTAATAATTATTTAGCAATTGTGTAACAATTACGAAAATCAAACAAATGAAAAGTTTTCAAAAACCTATGAATTTTTTTACTCTATTAGGCTACTTATGCGTTTCTAATGTTTATATCATGCTTGGGGAAACATATTATGGCTGTTTCTCGTTAGAGACTTTGCCGAGTACCTGCTAGTATCTAGCAGAAGCTATGATAAACAAAAGTATCAAAAACAGCAAAAATTGGGTCAAAATCATTGATTTTTCAGATCTGAAATAGCCAAGGAAAACAAAACTTCAAATTTGAAGTTAGATCTGAAATAACCCCTTCCTAAAATATCCAAGCGTTAATATAACATTTCTCAACCCATTTCAGATCTGAAAATTAGATCTGAAAAAAAAGTTATTTCAGATTTGAACTAGAACATTTACTAGGTACGGGTTTGTTTTCTTTCTGGTAGTTTTTTTAAAATCGCCAACCAAACAGTCAACGTTTTGGTGACCGCTCGACTAGCATAAAGCTCGACTAGCATACAAGTTTGAAAACATGAGAAAACATGGAAAAGTATCGACTACCATAATTTTATAGCATTATTTCTCAGATTTACAAAATAATAATACTGCGTTTAATTTGCAAGATGCGCCTCTGAGAAATTGAATTTGAGCACTTGAGAAATTAAGCAATCAAAACTAAAATTAATTTCCGATTGTCGTGATCAGTCACAACACGACCTGTAATGACTTGAACCGAAGACTGATCCTCGCGCAAATTGTGAAATGGTGAAAAAATTGATGGTGGGGAGTGAAAAAATTGCAACAAGGGGGGGGCAATTTGTTATACGGTACAAACTTTTTCGGGTCTATCAATCGCCTCCCTTTCAAGTAGGGGTAGGGGGGAGATTTTTAAGTAGATTAAGTTGGCCAGATCTCGTTAACTATCCCCCTTACTTTGCAAAAGGCGGAAAATTTGTTACTAGGCACAAAATTTATATATGATTAACCATTGAATTATTTTTTATTGGGGGGGGGGGCAATTTGTTACTAGTTACCCTAGGGAGGGAAAGACTTAAAAAAATCCACTCAGTCGACTTTTCGACCAATCACAATGGGGTGGTGATTCTTTAGTAGGTAATATAAAAGGATTGTTAGATAGATCCAAAAATTCGCATGTTTAATTACTCCTTTGTAGGGAGGCCATATATTGTGAGAAATGATTTTAATTTTGCCTACTTCAGTTTTGTGTTTCGATTCTTATGCTAGTCGACACGATTTTCAGTTTTGAAAATTTCATGCTGGTCAAGCCTTATGCTATTCGATACACCGCTGACGTTTGATTTAGGCAAAAAAATATACGGCGCTTTAAATGTACTTAACTGTCAATTTTCAAACCACCATCACAAGTAAATATTGATTGTAAGTGAAACTGTTTTAACTTTCAGACCAGAATATTTGCACTCTTTGAAAGGTTTTAGAAAAATATGTCGGAACCTGCTAATTAAAAAGTCGAAATTGGTTTGAAAAACCAAAACAGACCAATCACAAGTATCTCATTACTTCTTTCGAAAGTCAGAACAACGACACTATCCCTTATTAATATCATCTGCTTTGATTGTATTTTATAGCTAGTTTACATATTGCAATGAAACTGATCAAAAAAATCGAAACAATAGAGTCTTAGGCTGGAAAAAAAAATCTTGTATTACAACCCAAGCGTATTTTAAACAAGTTAAAGAAAAGCTAAGTCTCAAAACCTCATTAACAAAAAGTCAAAATGAGAGAGAATAAATTCGAATAAAAAAATTCATCGAACAATCGAATAAAAAAATTCATCATTAATGATCGGGACCCCCAAAGTGTTGAATATGTTCCCCCAAAGTGAAAAAACTGGATCAATGAATAATTTTTGACACAGGGGCACAGCTGCGCTTTGCAAACAATTGCGAGAACACGACCAAAAAGCAGCTCTATCAAATTAAATAAGAAAAGATAGAAATTTAGCAAAAACTCGGCTTCGTGTCGAATTCGAATATTCGAATCTGCGATGTAGCAAAATTGAGTCTCCAACTACTCAGCTACGAATGCTTCAAATTCCCCAGAAAACTAGCCATCAATAACGCAGCTACATGTTAATAAATTGCCAAACGATGCAGCAAAAGTAGCGCCAAATACAAAAAGACACAATTTTGGATGTAATGAAATGGAAAGCATTAAGCCAAATTATATATAAATTATGCATTTAAAAAAATGCGAAATAAATTGAGTTTAAACGTTTCTGAAATCGAGCATTTATTATTGTACTGCTGTTTGAAACAAATAACTTTTTTCGGTTCTTTGATGAATTAAAAAAGCATCAGCTGTGTTAACTTTCTACTAGCCAAACTTCAAAGCGCATATAATATTATACTGCTACTGCAGCCTACCAATTCATAAGTGCCACCAAAAGTAGGACTTTTTTGCGACTTAGGTTGGAAAAAAGAGAAAACTTCGCGAGTGTAAATATGGTTTCAAATCTAAACTTAAAATCACTTTTTAAGACAAAAATCAGTTTTTATTCTCTTTCTGTTTGCAAATTTGATATTGCCGAGTGTAATTTGTTTTCCGATTAGCAAATCAATTTTGAAAAAATTAGTTATCGTCAAATCGCTTAAGCATTTTGGCGTGCATAAATGTTAGAACTTTTTCCTGCAAAAAATTCAAAAAAGGACTATCTATATTAATTTGTTATCATCAATAATAGTAACGGACCACTCAACATATTCTTTTTCGGCCTAAATAAAATAAAATTGCCTGTACTCGAGCAATGATAGGAGCAGGAACAAAAAATGACATATTTGATCTGTTTTTGAGCTTTTGGTTTAATTTGCTGTTGGTGCACAGGGCCTGTGGGTGAAGGCGGAGGCGCTTTACGCCATGGGGGACTTCGAGTACGCTCTGCTGTTCTATCACAGGGGCTTCCAGGCCAGGTCGGATTTCGCCGAGTTCCGAATTGGAATCCAGAAGTCACAGGAGGCCATCGAAAACGCTATCGGGAGTACGATTTTTCACTTTTATTTTGTTTGTCGTACGTGAAACTAGTAAAAAGGTGGTCTTAGAATTTGAGATGGATTAGAAATATTTAACATTACCGTTTTTTTAAACTTTTCCCTAATTTTGAGTTAAACGTCGTTTCTTTGAAAAACTCTCCAAAAAATAGCCAACACTTTTGCCGGAAAGTATCCGAAATTTTTTGCATGAATCTTTTTCAGACGAGAGAAACTCATTTTCCGAATTAATGATAAAACTAGAAATAATAAGCTTTGGTTTGTATAAAAATTCTACTGATTTTTTTCAGAGGACGACAATCAAGACTTGAGTTCGGAGGGAGACCTGGGAATGTATTTCAATAGAGACCTGGTAATGATTTCTTTCTTCGCAAAAATTGATGAAACAATTTCAAACCCAGTTATTTATCAAATTGTGTTTTAGACCCAAAACTACATCACTTTCTCGGTAAGCATTTTTTTTTGCTCAAAAGCGCTCCCTGTCGTCAACTTGTTGCAGACTATGAACAGCTAAAATTTTCCGCCATGCAGCTTCCTGAGTTTTCAGGCAAAGTTTGAGCTCAATCCGATGATTAAGGTTTCAAAAAAAATTAAACTTTTTATTTCTGTTAGAATTATTTTAATTGTTTGAACAAAATTTGAACTAACCACTTATTTGATAAAAAAAAGAGAAGGAAATATCGACCCAGAGGCAAACTAAACTACGTAACCCCAAAAAAAATGGCAAAAAAGGAAAAATGCAAGAAAAAAACAAAATAAACTTTAGGATAACAACTACTGTATAGCTAAGGAAGGGAGACAGCGAGCGATATTCGAACCGAGACCTTCACATTTAAAGTCTGTTGTGGTAACCACTTAAGTAAAAATTGTAGGAGAAGCGAGCGAAGGAGAAAAAAGGAGGTGCTGGGGCTAAGAAGGAGCAGGACAAGAGGAAGGATGATCAGGGGAGGAGGGGCAGCAGCAAGGGGGGTCAGCGGGACCAGAAGACGAGCAAGAAGAACTCCAAGAAGTTGCTGGGACAACTCTACTCCGACAAAGAGTTCCTCCAGAAACTGCTCGAGGATGAGAGTACGTTTAATTTAACTACTTAATTTCGAAAACAACTTTTTTCTTCAAAATAAAAACACAAACAGCAAATGCAATAATTTGTTGAGTATGGAGAAACTCAGTGGTTGGTCAGGGGGTAAAAAATGTGTGAAACCCACTTCCTTCTCATAAAAACAGCTTTTGCAATCAAAAAGAGTAAAAACAATTGAATTAGCACCTCTTCGCTTTTTTAATAGTGTTTACAATAATTCAGATGTTTGCAAAATTGTTTGTAATATTGTTTGCAAAATTGCAATACTTCCTTTATAGCAGGGGTGGATTTAGGGGGGGGGGGGACGCCCTCTTCTCAGGGATTCGACCCCCTGCCGACCCAAAGGGTCCCCCCTTTGGTACTTTTTAAGAAATCCATTTTTGGCCGACCGACCCTAAATTTTTCTATAGTCGCCTTCGGCGCCAATAAATACTAACTTTGAGGGGAACCTCGCGCCAAAAAAGCGCGATCTTTTTCGTCAAAATTTTTTTTGCAAAAAGTGCCCAAAAACGGCTTTTTTACCTGTTTTTTCAAAAAATTGCCTGCGGCGCAGAAATATTGGTCTATCTACGGTCTTTATAGTGCTTTAGGAGAGCTCGGAAAATCAATTTGGTTGACCTAAAAAAACGTCGTCAAAATTTTCGAATTTTTTTTCGAAAATCCGCCTTTCCCTTGCGAAAATCCTAATTTTCGAAAATCCGCCCTCCCCTCGAGAAAATCTTAGATCCGCCACTGCTTGATAGTCAAAAATGGATGCAAGCAGATGATGAGCATAAGCACAGACAATAAACTCTGTATTTTCATTCTAAAAATTAATTCTCACGCAGAGGTGAAACAGAGCGTCGCACCACTTTTGGTAAAACACAAACATATCAAGACAAAAAAGCAAAAGTAATAAAGCCGGCAATATTGGAGCAGACATTGTTGAGCCAAAAAAAATGTTTTCACGAAAAAAAATTCAAGCTTTCAATAAACTTTAAATTATCCCATCCAAACTCTCGCGCAAATAGGAAATTGTTTCGCTCATGCAACATCACTAAATGATGCCACTAGCCGATTACGTATCAATGAAAAACTTTTAGGCTGACGTAAATAACCGAAGTAAAAATTTGAAACCAACATAAAAAAAAAACAACTATCAAATACAGTAGGTTTTTTTTTCACTGCAGACATGCTTAAAATCTGCGTTTGTTTACGAAAATGCACATTTGAGAAAATTTCAAATGATTCATTTAATTTGTTAGGCAAGTTGCTTACAGCACAAATTGCTTGCAGGACAAAGTTTTCACAGGACCAGTTGTCTAGAACTGCAACTTCAAGTTTTGTCTAGAATGTTGTTAAATTTGCGGAAAATTCATCCAGATATACTAGATTTATCGATGGCGTTAAATGAAAATCCAAAAACATTTATTGAACGGCAACTTTCAACAAAACTTGCGTAAACTCCCGTCAAAGCAAAAACGAAATTGTTGTCATGCAAAACTTGCTGATCGAAGGTTTAGAAGTTTGTCAACAAAAAAATTAGCAAAAAATTATGCAACTCAATTACCTTTTCTAATGGGGCTTTAGAAATGACATCCAAAAATTTAGAAAAAAAATTGAATCTTCATGTAGAAACAATGCTACGAGAACTAAGCCGACAAAATAAACTGACGGTCGAAAGTTCGAAACAGCAGAGAATTCTAGTTTGCAAAAAAAGGTCCCGGCCCGATGTGAACCACCAGCTTTTCTCGTCTCAAACAGGTGTCTTACCGCTACACCAGATGCACTGAATAGCGAACTGATTTTGAATCTATCATTATTCAAAAGTTGAAGCACGTGTAACTTTCACGTGCTATATCTTATGAACAGAGTTGTTTACGGGAAAAAATCTAGTACCCGAGCGCAAGTGTACTTACTACGAACACAAAATCAGAAAAATACAGCCAACAGATAATTAGAAAAGAGTCATTGAACGCAAATAAACAGAAAAAAATTACTGACTTGTTTTTTGGAAAAAAAAAACTCAATTTTCGAATTTCCAAGAAAAAAAACGAATGGCTTATTTGGAAATTAGAAGTCAATCACGTTTTTCTTAAGCTTTACACTTCAACTGTTCGATAGCGGAGTTTGCTTTCCTATTTTTAAAGGAACACATACGCATTTTCCACATACGCATTCAATTTTCAGCTATCACCAACCCGGAAACAGACAGCGGCAAGAAGATCCAGGAGGTTACTTCGAGCACCCTGGAGTACCTGGACAAGCGGGAAGAGTTCTGGCGCCAACAGAACCCTTCGCGACTGCACTCAAAGAAGCAGGAGAGGACTAGCAGTGGGAGGGTGGTGACCTCTGCGAACTTGAAGAAGAATGACCCTCAGAGATACATCCACAGACAGCTGGACCGCATCGAGGAAGGTCAGTAGTTCAATCTATATCAAGTACTAATATGTTGGAACAGACAAAATTTATTGAAAAATAGACAGTGACCTGTTTTGGAAAAACATGCATGCAAAAACTAATTTTGCAGAAGAATTTGTGTCTCCAGGTTATCTGAAACTTCGAAAAAGCATTAAGAAATTCTGTCGAAATGGCAAGGTTGATCGTTCTATCAATTTTGTCTGTCTGAATTTTTTGCACTTTTTATAGAAAATGTAGCTAATAGCTGGAAAAAAAATTATGAAGATCAATCTACTGATTTTGAATAAATTCTTCAATAATATTTGAAACTTTAATGACCTTAACTCATACTTTCTATCTGAAAAATTAGCTTTTGCGTAGAAAAAGACAACCAAGAAAAACACCAAGTAAAAAGTTTGAAACGACCCCACTTTACAGCTATCAGGTAGTGAAATGAACCCTAAGTTTTGAACACCCAATTACCAGCTAACATTTAGTGAACTGTAACAAAAAAATTCTAGAACATTCTATTTTTTGCAGACCTTGAGAAGAAGAAGTTCAAGCAAGCGGAAAAAAGAAGTAAGGAGACAATTGACGAGGCGAAGAGTTACGACGAAAACGATCTGGCCAACAAGCAGGAGATACTGGCCACTTTGTACAGCCTCCAGGGCATTGCTCAGCTGGAACAGGGCAAGCTGGCCGCAGCAGAGACCAGCTTCAAGAAGGACTTCGAAATATCGGACGAGATGTGAGCATAACTTTTAGTTCAAGTTTTTTTAAATAGGTTTTTAATAAATGTTTGGGTTTTAATAAAGATATACTTTTTTTCTTTTTGGTCGTCTTTTGTTTCATCATGGAACTCACATAGCACTTATCACGGTAGCAAGTATAGATTGAATTTAACAATTTTTAAGAGAAATTTCATACCAACAACCGCTGAAACAAATAAATTTAGTCAATGACGCGTATTTTTGGTGAACGATGCAGTACAATTTTTCAAACAATTTAAAGTTAAATTTCGCAAAACGTGCCAAAAGGATATTTTTGGCCACTTTTTGCAAGTTGTGGCCAAAAAACAGTAGCGTAATGGAGCCTTCAAATTTCAGGGGTCATTTTGATGGCAGCTCCCGTGCATTGGACAATCTAGGCCGAGTCAGTGTCAAGTTGGAGAAATTCGACAAAGCCATTCAGTACTGGGAAAGCAAACTGCAGCTGCTGCATCAGAACAGGACCACCCAACAGACCCCCAAGAGTCAGACACGCGAGGGGGGAGGCGATGGAGCGGCCGGGGGAGGGGAGGGGGGAGAAAAGAGGGGTGAGAGCAGGGCGAAGACGGCCACGGAGATGGCACTAGAGAGAACATGGCTATACCACGAGATAGGTGAGTCGCTGAATATACCGACCGGGGGGGGGGGGGGGGGGGGGGGTATAATGCTCAAATCTGATTGGTTGAAATTACTTCCACCGAAAAAAAAACTGGATTCTCAATGAAAACAGACGCTCAATCAGTATCATTTCATAATTTTGTAACTATATTTGGAACGGGGACTTAATTGCAATCGAACAGACTGTTTATGTTTCAGAAGTCAATGATTAAGTCGATTACTAATTACTATGAATGAATGAGTAGTTAATGACTCTACTATACTGTGTAGGTCGCTGTCACTTGGAACTGAAGAACAACTCTGAGGCTAAAGAGTACGGTGAGAGGGCTCTGGCCTCTGCCAAGGCCTCCGGCGACGAAGTTTGGCAGATAAACGCACTAGTACTCTCCGGAAAGGCCGAAGGTACCAATGAATCACTCGGAATCAAATTGCGCTGAAAATATATAATGAAAAACTGAGTACGCAAAAAAAAATTCCCAAAACACCAACCATCTTCGAGGCAACTTTCTTAAATGCAGTTGCCTTCAAAAAACCAATAATAAGCAAACAATCTGAAACTCTTTCTAATTTTTAGCACAAACTACAAATTTTTTTATATTGTCAAGGAACCGCTAAATGAAGCTTTCAAAAATAACTTTTGTTTAGTTTAATCAATTTTTAGCCTAAATGACCAATTTTAATTGTTCGAAATTAGACTAAAATTTTAAACTGGTTTTTCTCGAAACATGGACAAATTTTTGGAAGCTTTTTATAGTCATTCGAATTATCAGTAAAGGCTTTTAATGTGATATATCACTCGACCCATTCCGATTATTATATTTGGTTTTGCATGGAAAAAATAAAAGATACCGGAAAACAAAATTTCTCTCCATTTTCAATAGTTGGAACGAAAACTTCCAATTTTTCCAGCCTCGTAAACATATTTTTTTGTGAACAACAAACTCAAAATTTATTTTTTTTGTGAGCAGACACCGAATATATTTTTTTGCATGAAAGATGCCTGGAACATTCTACGGAAAGAAGGAGTTTAAAAAAGAAGAAATCATTGAAAAAAAAATACGAACATTATATCGTCTCCGAAGTCAAGTAATGGGCGAGCAAATAACATATTTGATACTGATGATGGTTTTTGCAGCCCAAATGGAGGAGTACCAGGCTGCGGCGGAGTCTTACGAGAAAGCACTGGAACTTGCGAAAGAGCAGGGCGCTAAAAATGCACAAAAAGCCATCGAAAGCGTAAGGAAAATTAGATTCCCTGGTCCAAAAATTATCAAAATTGATCGATTAATGAGATTTTCATACCGATTTTGGGTAGAAAACTTCAACACCGTCCCCCTCATTAACCTTGCTTTGCAATCAAAATTAAGAAATTGCCAAAACGCTTCCAACAAATTCGATACAACTAAAATAGAAGGGGTACTATTTTTTACAGAGAAATTGAAAAAAAACGTACTCTTTCAAAATGTATGTTTTTTTTCAGGCTTTGAAAGACGTGAACAACAAAATAGTTCGCGGTGTGAAAACAGAAGAGGATGCTGAAAATGAGGAGGAGAAGGAGTCGCCCCCTCCTGAACAAGCGAAGAAGGTAAGAACGAATGATTCAGAAGTGAGAAAGGATTAAGACCATTCACTCTCCAACGGAAAAAAGCCAAAAATGATCGATGATGGTGGGCCTCGAACCGCCGACATTTCAATTGAGAGCCTGAAGTACATTACCACCCGGACCGAGGTCCGCGACTCATGTTGCGATCAAAATGGTTAGCCGAAATGGACTTTCTGCGACCGAAATTCCATCATTCTGCACGAGGCTTGAGTCGGACAAAGTCGCAACATAGCTAAATTGGGTCGCGCAATGTCGCACCATAGCTAATTTGGGTCGCAAAAAGTCACAACATAGCTAATTTGGGTCGCACAAAGTCACATTATAGCTAATTTGGGTCGCAGTATGGGTCGCTTAAAGTCGCAACATGGGTCGCGCAAAGCTTAAATAATGGAATTATTGTTGGATTTTTTTGCTTGCATAAGCGTTATACAGATGCAGATTTACCAAATAATCCAGTATATATGTATTTTTAATGTGCAGTTAGCTAGATCAACATATTTGCTGGTCACATACAGGACCGCCATGAGAAAGCCTAGACATGGTCCCAACGTAAAATATAAGCAATCTTTTTAGGGCAACAATAAATTCGTTACCACAAAAATTGAATGCTAGAAACCCTTCAAATCAAACATGAATCAGAATAGTTAAATGAATCTTAAAAAAAAACAAGACGATAGCTAAATGAAACACACTTACCACGAAGCTAAAATTAGAAATAAATTTAGGCCGCGGACCTCGGCCCGGGTAGAATTAATAAATTTGACGCCTATAGAAAAATTTAGTGTCGGTCCGCCAAAAATTGATGTCTTGAAATAGTACCAAAGAGGGGCGTACCAAAGGGGGTCTTGAAATAGTACCACAAATCCTCCCCTGAATTTAAGCATGCCAATTTTCAACTTTGGGCCAGTTATTTGTCCATGAAATCAGTACATCTTCCTAGAAACGGTTTTCCTCAAAGATAAGATCCAAAACAAAACCAGTAAATTTAATGTTCTCCAGCTTTTTTGGTAAGATATGCACGAATCGTTAACTCTGCCTTCAAAAAATTTTCGAGACTCTTATTTTAGAAAAGCTAATCATGTTCGGTAAAAGCTGCTTCAAAAAAATGTTCTTCTGATTTGCCTATCTGAGAAAGTATAATACCCGTTATATCCAAAATTTTACAAAAGCGCTGAAAAAGGCTCACATAAAATTAGTTTTCATAGCTATTTGTATGCCAGTACTTCAAGTGCTTCGTTTTCCTTAGAAGGAGCCCGAGCCAGATAAGCCCAAAAAAGGGGAAGGGGACTCGCCCAAGGAGACAGACCGAAGTGCTGCCGGCTCGACCGATGCACAAGAGAAAAAATAGACCAAAAGAATGACATTAAACTGACTTAATAATTTACAGAAAATCTAATGTGATCAGTTTACTGTAAAAATTGAATTACTGCAAAATTGTCAGCTTTATACAAGGTGTTTAACTGCATGTTTGACACAGCAGAAGAGTTAAGCAAGTTGCCCGAAGAAAGGAGTTGTTGTCCCGACAACCGAAGTTCGAGTGAAAAATTGAATTTAAATCAGTTGGTCGAGTGATATATGATATTACAAAATATCACAAAAATATGATATTGTAAACATATTCGAAAATGAACGGTGCGAGGCACTTCATTGTGGATTCCGGAAAAAATTGGTTAGAGATTTTGGCGGTTGAAAGTTTGACAGGCGTCCTATAAAAGTACAAATTGGCCTCGGTATGCCCAGGAAAACCTAACTGACAAAGTTCACTTTCGAAATTGAATGCGCCGTTTTTGCATCATTTACATTTTGTTATTAGAGAGTAATTTGCTGTTTGTTAGCATTTGAATTTGTATTACCTTAGTGAGAAATCAGAAGTCAAACCGCAAAAATTCATCAAACTTAAGCTTGAACAATTTTTAACATTTTTTGCTGGACACAAAATTTAACACCACCTAAAGAAATGATTTCACTTCGTTCATCGAAACTTGAAAAAACCAAATTTTTGATTAACTCCTCGCTGTTCTTACATTATCACACAGATCAAACGCATGCATTGTGAATCCAGCAAAAAAAGTTTATGGAAAAACAGTTAGTTGCTGATTAGAAAAACTGTTTTAAAACAGGTCCAGACATTGCAAATCTTTATTTCCAATTTGCAACTGTCCAACTTCATTTTTTTCCAAACATTTCTTTTTGAACTAGAACTAATGTAACCTACGAAAAAAAGATGCAGGGAAAGGGTGATTGTTATCAGAAAGAAGCCATGGACTACATTCATCTTTAACTGAGTCTACTCTTAGCTGACCTTGTTGCTGTTGTACCTACATCGTTCTCTGTTTTGAGCAATTGAGTGAATTGCAGATACCTGTTTTGTATTAGAAATAGAGAGAGTGAGGTAAGTTTTGTTGATGCTTGTTTGTTTGGTTGAGTGACTGTCGTCTCACCTGATCTATCACTACAGTTTGCCCAGGGTGTCTAGCGACAACACCAATGTAGAAGTGGAACCACCTTTTGAAGGGATAGTTTCATCCTGCAGGTTTTGACGCGTCTTTTCTTTGTAGCATGCCCAGGAGGTAAATTTGGATAGAGTCTGAACAAAACATTGTAGCGGCCAAGTTTACTGGCATGCGTAGAAAAACGAGTGAAATCCTAAACCCGTACTAAGACGCAGTTTGTAGTTTGTGGGAAAAACCGAGAAAGATTCTAATTTTTTGGAGATATTAGATAATACTGAGCTGGCGATATCGTTGAGCAGACGGTAGAAATCAACAGTATCAAAGACTGCAGTCAAATTTACGGCGATATTAGTTTCCTGTGACATGGTTTGGCCTTTTTTAACCGAGTTTTGATAAAGAAAGAATTTCTATTCAGGTAGTTGGCCTTTCTGAAAATTTAAGTCGATTTTTTTTGACATTTTAAGTTGCTTTTCGAGTTTTGACAGTCCAAAGAGCTATGCAATCTTTTTCTAGTTAAGCTAGAAAACTTTCTCCTACTTTCCAGTTTCTAGCACTGTTGAATTACTCAGCGATACGTTTATTAGCTTCCTTAAATATTTAATGGCAAGTATTTGCTTTTCTTACCGGTTTTTTGCTTCTTCGACCATCTATTGAATCCTTCACTTTTTTATATGAAATTTATTGTGTTATTTATGATTTTCTTGTCAAAGATACTGGGTGTGTTTTTAGGAGTTTTGCCTTTGATGATTGAAATTTCTTCAAATGAAGACCACATTTATTTCATGCACCTCGATGATCGAGGTAACCGAAAAGTTTTGATCTTTTATGATTCGCAAATAAATAGTATTGACTTTCATTTAAAATTTGCGTTTTTTGAGGTCTCTATGGTACAGTGCTTGATAAAGAGTCAATTAGCGCAAGAAAATTATTTTGAAGGAAGTTTAATTTTCGAACTTTAAACAAAATTCTATAATTGACGTTTTTTAAAAAAAAATAAACCAACTCCAGAAAACTGGATAAAGAGATAATTTATTCTATTGAAAAGAAAAATTCAGAGATGGTAAATTGTTTTGCGTTCACTAAATGATTTCAACTGTGCGTAAAGAAATCAAAGCGCGATAAAATCAATTTTGCTGTTGAAAGGCAAATAAACGTCTTCACTTCATTCATTGATACTTACACAAAAACTGGCAAAAAGAGGTCAACTAAAAACAGCCAATACACAAGTGATTACAGTCAGCAGACAAACTGAAAAAAAAACTATCAGTTGATTTTTCATTTCAAAAATATATCAAGATTGACACTTTTGTATAAAAATGCCGTAAAAACTGGATGAAACGAAACTTTTCAGTCACTTGGGACTTATAACAAGTCATCTGGTTTTTTCCATATTTTAATTTTTTTTTGTTAGAGAGCAAACTTACCATCCATTGATCAATCAAAATTGAAAAACAAGTACATATGTTTAACCCTGAAAAAAATGAGACTCTTAAATGAAACGAAACCATTCAGTTGGATTTATCTATAACAAATTGAAAACAAAAATCGGGTATTCTTACAAAAACTAGAAAAATAACTTTGACCTAATGATAAACCAAATCAGAGCTGTGTTTTATTTATATTAATAATTAATAAAACAAAAACGAAAGGACAACAACTTTTTACAATGAAGATAAAATTTTCGGCAGCTAAGCCGACAACTTTAATTGGATGCACTTGAAACCGGAAAAGTAAAAAGTTTCAGATAAAAAAATTGCCCGTTTTTAAGCATCCTTGGGATCATTCAGCCTCTGTGCGGGGGAAAACGTGAAAAAGGTAACAAAAAAGTTACATGGAAGCGAAACTGCTCTTCGAAAAAAAAGCTAGCGAGAAAACGACAAAAAAGTAGCACTATAGAGTGAAAATGAGCAGGCAGAGGTAAGCCTCGAATTAATATAAACACTTTGGATCCCTCTCGGCTACTGATGCGTAACAACCGTCAAACACCAGCCAGAAAAAAGCAGAGAACTGATGCTAAGAAATGTCCAAAGCAATAGATTGTATAAGATAGGCGGTGAATGAAGAAATTGAAATTTTTTTCATTTATAGGGCTTTCAAACTTTACACTGCCACAGTTCTTTATTCTAGTGATAAAAAGCTTGATTAAAGCTCCAGAGAACAGAATGCGAATTCCAGTCGAAGATTTGTTTGCCTCTTTTGATTTATTTAAAAAATTTTTTAAATAGCTATTATTACTAGCGGCCCTCTGCAGCCAACGCTGCTCTTGAAAAATGATGACATCAATCGTGAACGGAAAAAATCCTGGAATGGCTGAATGGATGGCTAGCTGGTTAGATGGCTGAACGAATGTGGAACTGATGTATCGATGAATGGCTTGACTGATTGCTGATGGTTGGACCGATGGAGGCAGAACTGTCTGGACGCGTGGAAGGTTGGCTGGATATATGGATAGATGGCTGGATGGATAAATAGATGGATGGATATTTGACTGATTTGTTAGTTGTATCGATGGATGGGTAGATGGATGGAGCTATGGACTGCTGGAGGGACAGATGAGCTACTGGATGGAAAAATGGATCGATGGTTCGTTTCATTTAGAACGATGGGTAGCTAGATGGATAATGACTTGCGTAATGGCTGTTTACATGGATAGATGATAATGCCAAGATGTATGTATAGTTGGGTTGATGGACAATGGAATGAAAGATGAATTAATGCATGGCTGGCTGGAAAAAGGATAGCTAGTGACTAGATGGAAATCAGGCTGGTTGGAATAATGGGCGATGGATGACATGTATTGCTGTTTGGATGGATGGACGGTGGATGTATGGCTAGATAGATAGATGGCTTCGTGGATTGACAGATTGACTGATTGTACGAATGGTTGGTTGAGTGGATGGCTAGGTGGATTGCTGGTTAGGCAGATGAACAGCTGAACTGACGGTTGGAAATAATTGATGAAGGGATGATAGTTGGATTACAGGTTTGACGAATGACTGAGTGGTTGGGTAAGAAGCTGGATGGGCGAATGGTTTGATTATTAAATGGTTTGATGGATGGATGCATAGTTGGCTGGATGCATGGGTGTCTGAGTATCTGAATGGATGGATGGCTGGATAAATAATGGAGGGATGGACGATGTGTGGCTACATGTATACATGGCTTCATGGATGAATGATGGATGGCGTAAGGTTTGGGATGATCAATGGCTGACTGGCACGTTAGATTGCTAGAGGCATGGATAGATCGCTTGATAGTCTGGTTGGATTGCTGGGCGATGGGTGGCTTGACGGATGGCTTGATGGATTGGCGGCATGAATTATGGATGAATAGATAGATAGATGGCTTGATAAATAGATGGCTGACTGTACGGATGGCTGGATGAACTGTTGAAAAAAATGAAAAAATGGTTTGAGAGTTGAATGGTTCAATGAATGGCTAGATATTTTGTTGGTTGGATAGATGAACAAAAGATGAACGATAGTTGTATAGATTGTAGGCTGGATGGATGGCTGAATGGTTTGTTGCATGAATTGCTGGTTGGATGGATTGATAGATTGATGGAAGAATTGATGGATAGATGACTGGATAGTTGGAAAACAGAATAATTGTTCTATGGGATGGGTGTGTTGGATGAATGGCTTGACATTTTGCTGGTTGGCCGGATGATCAGACGGGTGATAGCTAGATAGATGCATGCCATAACTTGCACTACCCTACCATGTCTTGAACATTCTCGCCTTGCCCTGTCTGGTTTTACCTTGCCCTGCTTTGCGCTGCCCTTTCCTGCCTTGCGCTGCCATACCTTGTCTTGCGCTGCCCTAATCTGACTTGCAGTGCCCTACCCTGCATCGTCCCTCCTGGCTCTACTTTGCCTTGCCATTCCTCGCCCTGCGCACCCTTGCCTTGCGCTGCTTTACCTTGCCTTGTACTGCCTCGCCTTGCGCTGCCTCTTTCCCCGCATTGCCCTTCCTTTTTCTGCCTTTCATTGCACTCCCTACTCTGCCTTGTCCGCCTATACTTGCCGTAACCAAGCCTTGCTGCTCCTCACCCGGCTCTGCGCTGCCGTGTCCTCCCTACCCTGCCTTATTCCTCTGCCCTGCGCTGCCCTGACGTGCCTTGCCATTCCTAGCCCTGTCTTGCTTATTGCTGCACTGTCCACCTCGTCCTTTCCTGTGCTTCCTACCCTGCCTTGCACTGCCCTGCCTTGTGCTCATCGCCCTGCCCTGCCTTACTGCCCATCGCCTTGTACTGCATTGCTGCTCCTGCTTTGCTGCTCATCACTCTGCCCTGACGTGCCTTGTGCTGCTCGCTCTGTCCTGCTTAGTGCTGTACTGTCCACTTCGTCTTACCCTGTGCTCCCTACCCTTCCTTGCGCTGCCCTATTCTGCCTTGCTGCTCCTCGCCCTGCCCTGCCTTGCGACCGTTGCCCTGCCGTGCCCTACTGTCCTTCGCCTTGCACTGTCTTGCTGCTCTTCTTCCTGTACCGCCTTGCTGCGCATCGCGCTGCCCTAGCCTGCCTGGCTTCATCCTGCACTGCTTTGCGCTGCCTTACCCTGCCTTTCGGGGCTCAGCCCTTCTTGGCTCTACTTTGCCTTCCCAGTCCTCGCCCTGCCCACCCTTGCTCTGCGCTGCTTTACCTTGCCTTGTCCTGCCTCGCCTTGCACTGCCTCCTTCTCCGCATCGCCCTTCCTTCTGCTGCCCTCCATTGCACTCCCTACTCTGCCTTGCCCGCATATACTTGCCGTAACCAAGCCTTGCTCCTCCTCACCCGGCTCTGCGCTGCCGTGCGCTCCCCACCCTGCCCTGTCCCTCTGCCCTCCGCTGCCCTGACGTGCCTTGCCATTCCTAGCCCTGTCTTGTTTACTGCTGCACTGTCCACCTCGTCCTTTCCTGTGCTCCCTACCCTGCCTTGCTGCTCTCGCCATGCCCTGCCTTGGCCTCCTCGCCGTGCCTCACTGTCCTTCGCCTTGCACTGTCTTGCTGCTCTTCTTCCTGTACCGCCTTGCTGCGCATCGCGCTGCCCTAGCCTGCCTGGCTTCGTCCTGCACTACTTTGCGCTGCCTTACCCTGCCTTTCGGGGCTCAGCCCTTCTTGGCTCTACTTTGCCTTCCCAGTCCTCGCCCTGCCCACCCTTGCTCTGCGCTGCTTTACCTTGCCTTGTCCTGCCTCGCCTTGCACTGCCTCCTTCTCCGCATCGCCCTTCCTTCTGCTGCCCTCCATTGCACTCCCTACTCTGCCTTGCCCGCAAATACTTGTCGTAACCAAGCCTTGCTCCTCCTCGCCCGGCTCCGCGCTGCCGTGCGCTCCCCACACTGCCTTGTCCCTCTGCCCTGAGCTGCCCTGACGTGCCTTGCCATCCTAGCCCTGTCTTGCTTACTGCTGCAGTATCCACCTAGTCCTTTCCTGTGCTCTCCACCCTGCCTTGCACTGCCCTGCCTTGTGCTCCTCGCCCTGCCCTGCTTTACTGCCCATCGCCTTGTACTGCCTTGCTACTCCTCTCCCCGCACTACCTTGCTGCTTCTCGCTTTGCTGCTTCTCGCCGTACCCTGACTGGCTGCACTTCACCCTGCCCTGCTATTCCTCGCGCTGAGCTGCCGTGCGCTCCTCGCCCTGTCCCCTGCATGGTGCTGCACTGTCCTTCTCATCCTGCCTTGTGCTCCCTATCCTGCCTTGCTGCTCTCGCCCTGCCCTGCCTTGTGCTCCTCGCCATGTCCTGCCTTAATGCCACTCGCCCTGCCTTGCTGCTCGTCGTCTTGCTGCTCCTCGCGTAGCTGCTCCTCGCTCTACCATGACTTGCGCAGCCCCCTCTTGCTGGTCCTTGCCCTATCCCGACTTACCGGACCTCGATCGGCCCTGCTTTATGCCGCAATGTCCTCCTCGTCCTACATTGTGCTCCTGATCTTGCGTTGCAATGCCCTATTTTGCCTTAATGCTCCTTGCCATGCCCTGCCTTCCGACCGTCGCTCTGCCCTGACTTACTGAACCTAGCCCTGCACTGTCTTGCTGCTCTTCTCCCTGCACCGCCTTGCTGCACCTCCCGCTGCCCTGCCCTGCCTGACTTTACCCTGCACTGCCTGTGGCTGCCCTGCCACTCTTGGTCCTACTTTGCCTTACCAGTCTTCGCCCTGCGCACCCTTGCTTTGCACTGCCCTACTTTGGTTTGCATTGTCGTGCGTTGCGCTGCCCTGCACTACCCTTTCTTCTCCTGCCCCTTATTGCACTCCCTACTCTGCCTTGCCCGCCTATACCTACTTCAACTAAGCTTTGCCCCTCCTCGCAGGGCTCTGCGCTTCCTTGCAATCCCCACTCCGCTTTGTCCCACTTGCATTGCGCTGCCCTGACGTGCCTTGTCATTCCTCGTCAAGCCCTGCTTGTTGCTGCACTTTCCTCCTCAACCTACACTGGCTTCCTCCCTACCCCGGCTTGCGCTGCCCTGCCTTGTTGCTCCTCGCCCTGCCCTGCCTTGCTGCCCCTCGCTCTGTACTCCCCAGCTGCTCCTCGCCCTGTAGCGCTCTGCTGCTCTTCGCCGTACCCTTGCTTGCTACTCGTCGCCCTGCCATGCCTTGCTGCTCCTCGCCCTGCCCTGCCTTGCGCTCCTCGCCCTGTTCTACTTAGTTCTGCACTGTCGTTCTCGTCTTACCCTGTGATCCCTACTCTGCCTTGCGCTGCTCTATTCTGCCTTGCTGCTCCTCGCCCTCCCTGCCTTGTGCTCCTCGCCCCGCACTGCCTTACTGCCCCTCGCCCTCCACTGCTTTGCTGCTCTTCGCCCTGCGCACCCTTGCCTTGCGCTGCTTTTCCTTGGCCTGTCCTTCCACGCCTTGCGCTGCCTCCTTCCCCGCATTGCCCTTCCTTCTTCTGCTCTCCATTGCACTCACTTCTGTGCCTTGCCAGCCTATACTTGCCGTCACCAAGCCATGCTGCTCCTCACCCGGCTCTGCGCTGCCGTGCGCTCCTACTCTGCCTTGTCCCTCTGCCCTGCGCTGCCTTGACGTGCCTTGCCATTCCTAGCCCTGTCTTGCTTACTGCTGCACAGTCCACCTCGTCCTTTCCCGTGCTCCCTACCCTGCCTTGCCCTACCCTGCCTTGTGCTCCTCCTCCTGCCCTGCCTTACTGCCCATCGCCTTGTACTGCCTTGCTGCTCGTCTCCCCGCACTACCTTGCTGCTCCTCGCCGTACCCTGACTGGCTGCACTTCACCCTGCCCTGCTGTTCCTCGCGCTGAGCTGCCGTGCGCTCCTTGCACTGTCCCCTGCATGGTGCTGCACTGTCCTTCTCATCCTCCCTTGTGCTCCCTATCCTGCCTTGCTGCTGTCGCCCTGCCCTGCCTTGTGCTCCTCGCCATGTCCTGTCTTACTGCCACTCGCCCTGCCTTGCTGCTCTTTGCCTTGCTGCTCCTCGCCCTACCATGACTTGGGCAGCCCTGTCTTGCTGGTTCTTGCCCTGTCCCGACATGCCGGTCCTCGACCGGCCCTGCTTTGTGCCGCACTGTCCTCCTCGTCCTACACTGTGCTCCTGATCTTGCGTTGCAATGCCCTATCTCGCCTTGCTGCTCCTCGCCATGCCCTGCCTTGCGACCTTCGCTCTATCCTGACTTTCTGAACCTAGCCCTGCACTATCTTGCTGCTCTTCTTCATGCACCGCCTTGCTGCTCTTCGGCCTGCGCACCCTTGCCTTGCGCTGCTTTACCTTGCCTTGTCCTGCCTCGCCTTGCGGTGCCTCCTTCCCCGCATAGACCTTCCTTCTTCTGCCCTCCATTGCACTTCCTACTGTGCCTTGCCCGCCTATACTTGCCGTAACCAAGCCTTGCTGCTCCTCACCCGGCTCTGCGCTGCCGTGGGCTCACTACTCTGCCTTGTCCCTCTGCCCTGCGCTGCCTCGACATGCCTTGCCAGCCTAGCCCTGTCTTGCTTACTGCTGCACTGTCCACCTCGTCCACCTGCCTTGCCCTGCCCTGCCTTGTGCTCCTCGCCATGTCCTGCCTTACTGCCACTCGCCCTGCCTTGCTGCTCTTCCCCTTGCTGCTCCTCGCGTTGCTGCTCCTCACCCTACCATGACTTGCGCAGCCCCCTTTTGTTCGTCCTTGCCCTGTCCCGACTTGCCGGTCCTCGACCGGCCTGCTTCGTGCCGCACTGTCCTCCTCGTCCTACCTTGTGCTCCTTATCTTGCGTTGCAATGCTCTATCTCGCCTTAATGATGCTCGCCATGCCCTGCCTTGCGACCGTCGCTCTGCCCTGACTTACTGAACCTAGCCCTGCACTGTCTTGCTGCTCTTCTCCCTGCACCGCCTTGCTGCACCTCGCGCTGCCCTGCCCTGCCTGACTTTACCCTGCACTGCTTTTGGCTGCCCTGCCACTCTTGGTCCTACTTTGCCTTTCCAGTTTTCGCCCTGCGCACCCTTGCTTTGCACTGCCCTACTTTGGTTTGCTTTGTCCTGCATTGCGCTGCCCTGCCCTTCCCTGCATTACCCTTTCTTCTCCTGCCCCTTATTGCACTCCCTACTCTGCCTTGCCCGCCTATACCTACTTCAACTAAGCTTTGCCCCTCCTCGCAGGGCTCTGCGCTTCCTTGCAATCCCAAGTCCGCTTTTTCCCTCTTGCCCTGCGCTGCCCTGACGTGCCTTGTCATTCCTCGTCATGTCCTGCTTGTTGCTGCACTTTCCTCCTCCTCCTACACTGTCCTCCCTACCCCGGCTTGCGCTGCCCTGCCTTGCTGCTCCTCACCCTGCCCTGCCTTGCTGCTCCTCGCTCTGTACTCCCCAGCTGCTCCTCGCCCTGTAGCGCTCTGCTGCTCTTCGCCGTACCCTTGCTTGCTACTCGTCGCCCTGCCCTGCCTTGCTGCTCCTCGCTTTGCCCTGCCTTGCGCTCCTCGCCCTGTCCTACTTAGTGCTGCACTGTCGTCCTCGTCTTACCCTGTGATTCCTACCCTGCCTTGCGCTGCTCTATTCTGCCTTGCTGCTCCTCGCCCTCCCTGCCTTGTGCTCCTCGCCCCGCACTGCCTTACTGCCCCTCGCCCTCCACTGCTTTGCTGGTCTTCGCCCTGCGCACCCTTGCCTTGCGCTGCTTTTCCTTGCCCTGTCCTGTCACGCCTTGCGCTGCCTCCTTCCCCGCATTTCCCTTCCTTCTTCTGCCCTCCATTGCACTCCCTACTCTGCCTTGCCCGCATATACTTGCCGTAACCAAGCCTTGCTGCTCCTCACCCGGCTCTGCGCTGCCGCGCGCTCCCTACTCTGCCGTGTCCCTCTGCCCTGCGCTGCCTTGACGTGCCTTGCCATTCCTTGCCCTGACTTGCTTACTGCTGAACTGTCCACCTCGTCCTTTCCTGTGCTCCCTACCCTGCCTTGCCCTGCACTGCCTTGTGCTCCTCCTCCTGCCCTGCCTTACTGCCCATCGCCTTGTACTGCCTTGCTGCTCCTCTCCCCGCACTACCTTGCTGCTCCTCGCCGTACCCTGACCGGCTGCACTTCACCCTGCCCTGCTGTTCCTCGCGCTGAGCTGCCGTGCGCTCCTTGCACTGTCCCCTGCATGGTGCTGCACTGTCCTTCTCATCCTCCCTTGTGCTCCCTATCCTGCCTTGCTGCTCTCGCCCTGCCCTGCCTTGTGCTCCTCGCCATGTCCTGCCTTACTGCCACTCGCCCTGCCTTGCTGCTCTTCGCCTTGCTTCTCCTCGCCCTACCATGACTTGCGCAGCCCTGTCTTGCTGGTCCTTGCCCTGCCCCGACTTGCCGGTCCTCGACCGGCCCTGCTTTGGGCCGCACTGTCCTCCTCGTCCTACACTGTGCTCCTGATCTTGCGTTGAAATGCCCTATATCGCCTTGCTGCTTCTCGCCATGCCCTGCCTTGCTGCTCTTCGCCCTGCGCACCCTTGCCTTGCGCTGCTTTACCTTGCCTTGTCCTGCCTCTTCTTGCGGTGCCTCCTTCCCCGCATAGACCTTCCTTCTTCTACCCTCCATTGCACTCCCTACTGTGCATTGCTCGCCTATACTTGCCGTAACGAAGCCTTGCTGCTTCTCACCCGGCTCTGCGCTACCGTGGGCTCCCTACTCTGCCTTGTCCCTCTGTCCTGCGCTGCCTTGACGTGCCTTGCCATTCCTAGCCCTATCTTGCTTACTGCTGCACTGTCCACCTCGTCCTTTCCTGTGTTCCCTACCCTGATTTGCCCTGCCCTGCCTTGTGCTCATCGCCCTGCCCTGCCTTACTGCCCATCGCCTTATACTGCCTTGGTGCTCCTCTACCCGCACTTCCCTGCTGCTCCTCGCTTTGCTGCTCCTCGCCGTACCCTGACTGCCTGCACTTCACCCTGCACTGCTGTTCCTTGCCCTGGGCTGCCGTGCACTCCTCGCCCTGTTCCCTGCATGGTGCTGCACTGTTCTTCTCATCCTGCCTTGTGATCTCTATCCGGCCTTACTACCACTCGCCCTGCCTTGCTGCTCTTCGCCTTGCTGCTCCTCGCCCTACCATGTTTTGCGCAGCCCTGTCTTGCTGGTCCTTGCCCTGTCCCGACTTGCCGGTCCTCGACCGGCCCTGCTTTGTGCCGCACTGTCCTCCTCTTCCTATAATGTACTTCTGATCTTGCATTGCAATACCCTATCTTGCCTTGCTGCTCCTCGCCATGCCCTGCCTTGCGACCGTCGCTCTGCCCTGACTTACTGAACCTAGCCCTGCACTGTCTTGCTGCCCTTCTCCCTGCACCGCCTTGCTGCACCTCGCGCTGCCCTGCCCTGCCTGACTTTACCTGCACTGCCTTTGGCTGCCCTGCCACTCTTGGTCCTACTTTGCCTTTCCAGTCTTCGCCCTGCGCACCCTTGCTTTGCACTGCCCTACTTTGGCTTGCCTTGTCCTGCATTGCGCTGCCCTGCCCTTCCCTGCATTACCCTTTCTTCTCTTTTCCCTTATTGCACTCCCTACTCTGCCTTGCCCGCCTATACCTACTTCAACTAAGCTTTGCCCCTCCTCGCAGGGCTCTGCGCTTCCTTGCAATCCCCACTCCACTTTTTCCCTCTTGCCCTGCGCTGCCCTGACGTGCTTGTCATTCCTCGTCAAGTCCTGCATGTTGCTGCACTTTCCTCCTCCTCCTACACTGTCCTCCCTACCCCGGCGTGCGCTGCCCTGCCTTGCTGCTCCTCGCCCTGCCCTGCCTTGCTGCCCCACGCTCTGTACTCCCCAGCTGCTCCTCGCCCTGTAGCGCTCTGCTGCTCTTCGCCATACCCTTGCTTGCTACTCGTCGCCCTGCCCTGCCTTGCTGCTCCTCGCTTTGCCCTGCCTTGCGCTACTCGCCCTGTCCTACTTAGTGCTGCACTGTCGTCCTCGTCTTACCCTGTGCTCCCTACCCTGCCTTGCGCTGCCCTATTCTGCCTTGCTGCTTCTCGCCCTCCCTGTCTTGTGCTCCTCGCCCTGCACTGCCTTACTGCCCCTCGCCCTGAACTGCTTTGCTGCTCTTCGCCCTGCACTGCCTTGCTGCTCCTGCTTTATTGCTCCTCACTCTGCCCTGCCGTGCTGCAACTCGCGCAGCCCCCTCTTGTCGCTTCTCTCCCTGCCCTGCATTGTGCTCCTCGCCCTGTCCTGCTTAGTGCTGCACTGTCCTCTTCGTCTTACCCTGTGCTCCCTACCCTGCCTTGCGCTGCCCTATTCTGCCTTGATGCTCCTCGCCCTGCACTGTCTTGCTGCTCTTCTCCATGTACCGCCTTGCTGCGCCTCGCTCTGCCCTAGCCTGCCTGGCTTCGTCCTGCACTGATTTGCGCTGCCCTACCCTGCCTTTAGGGGCTCTGCCCTTCTTGGCCCTACTTTGCCTTCCCAGTCCTCGCCCTGCGCACCCTTGCTTTGCGCTGCTTTACCTTGCCTTGTCCTGCCACGCCTTGCACTGCCTCCTTCCCGGCATTGCCCTTGCTTCTGCTGCCCTCCATTGCACTCCCTACTCTGCCTTGCCCGCATATACTTGCCGTAACCAAGCCTTGCTCCTCCTCACCCGGCTCTGCGCTGCCGTGTCCTCCCTACCCTGCCTTATTCCTCTGCCCTCCGCTGCCCTGACGTGCCTTGCCATTCCTAGCCCTGTCTTGTTTACTGCTGCACTGTCCACCTCGTCCTTTCCTGTGCTCCCTACCCTGCCTTGCTGCTCTCGCCATGCCCTGCCTTGGCCTCCTCGCCGTGCCTCACTGTCATTGCCTTGTACTGCCTTGCTGCTCCTCTCCCCGCAAAACCTTGCTGCGTCGTACCCTGACTTGCTGCTCTTCGCCCTGTCCTCTGCATGGTGCTGTACTGTCCTTCTCATCCTGCCTTGTGTTCCCTTCCTTGCTTTTCCCTGCCCTATCTCGCCTTGCTACCCCTCGCCCTGCCCTGCTCTGCCTTTTTGCCCCTCGCCCTGCACTGCCTTGCTGCTCTTGGCCCTGTACACCATGCTGCTCCCTGTTTTGCTGCCGTACCCTGCCTTGCTGCTCCTCGCACTATCCTGCCTTGCCGCTCCTTGCCCTTAAGCTAAAATGTTTCTCAAGCACTGCAATATACGATACAGCCTAAACGTGTAAAATTTCGTGACTTGAAAGAATTAATTTTCTTCTTCAAACGAAGCTGTTTTTAAAAATCTAGCCACTGCGTTACGTTATCTAGTCATTTGAACTTTACAGCAAGAAGTTATTCCGAAACCTCACATATTCCACCAATTTTGTAGACTTTGATACGACTGAAAATATGCTAGTCGATATCGCAAAGGAAACAAGATACTTCTTGTTAACTATTTCCTTCCCTACGGTTTCTAGTAACAAAATGGACCCCTCTAACTCATTCTCGTCCAACTAAGTCAGTATTTCCGTTTTAAAGTCCACATATGCTTATTCTCAGGGATTTTGTTTTTCTCGTTTCGATTTTTTTCCAAGTGAACTTGGGTGTAACGCAACTCCGGTGCTTCGAACTTTTAACAGCTCATAAAAACCACATATATTGGAAATAAGATCTGCATCCTTTGAGTGTACTCTGACAGTACCAAATTACAGGCTTCATAAGTTTAAACTTTTTAAGGTTTTTTATTCAAGTTTTTTCAATTCAAAATTTGAAAAACCATCAAATTTTGTCGATTTTAAAATATGTTCTTTGAAAAAAAAAAAAAATGAACTAAGAAACGTCATATCTCGGAAACAAAAACAATTAAGCAGTGGCATTTGGACGCAAGATTAGCATTTCCTGAGATTACTTTTACAGTACCCAACTACAACGTTGGGAAATTCAAATTGAGAAACTTCAAACGTAAATTTTATAAATAATAAAAAAAAAATTTGAAAAAAAAAAACAGATAAAAAGTCACATCTCGAAAACTGCCACGACTTGAGCAGTCTTTTTCGAAAGCAATATTCGCAATCCTTGACCAAAAGGAGTTGGTCATTCCTAATTGGACACCGAACTCGCAACCCCTGAGATTTCTCTGAGAGCCCCCAAATACAGGTTAGGAAGTCCAAATTATTTTAAAAAATCAGCAAAAAACGTCATATCTGAAAATTTAACAAGATTTGAGGACTCATTTTTGGAGGCCAAACTTACAACCCCTGAGAGCACCGTAACAAAGAATCAATATAAAGATGAGATCTTCAATTTTTTTGAATTTTTTTATATCTAATTACTCTGAAACATTTTGAAAAGTTTTGGAATTTTTCAAAATTTAAGTTTTTTTTGGAAATTTTTGAAAAAAGCATAAAAACTTCATATCTCGAAAACAAAAAAGATTTGAGAAGTGAGATCTGGAGGCACGATTGGCAGCCCCTGAGTAAAGTCTGACAGCACCCAATAACAGGTTTCGGAATTTCAAATTTTGTAAATTGTTTTCTAAATTTAGTTTTCTGAATTTTTTTAAAAACACAAAAATCGTCGTATCTCGTACACTAAAAGATTTCGGCATTCATAATTGAAGGCTAATATGTCAACCTCTGTAGGAATCCTGGCGGTATCCACTATTGGGCTGCTTATTTTAAACTCGGTGAAAAAAACACTGAATTCAAAGTGGGAAATCGAAAAAAATTCTTAGCCATTGCAATATACGATATAGCTTAAACGTGCAAACTCTTTTGTTAAACATGCAAAAACAATACGTTGAAAAAGCTTAAACATGGCGAGATAGTGAAGCCCGCATTGCAATATACGATATAGCTTAAACGTGCAAAAACTCTTTTCTTAAACATGCAAAAACAATACGTTGAAAAAGCTTAAACATCTTGAGATAGTGAAGCCCGCATTTAAATATATAATAGATTTTACGAGCCAAATCAGCTACCACAAAAATTCGTCAAATGGGTTCAAGTTAAACAGTGATGAAGTTAAAGAGTGCTGGAAACAATTCGGACAAAACAAACTAAATTGAAACTTCGAACGCATTTTTCTCAAATTAGGTTGAGATTAAGCAAAAAATAATGAGAAAAAAAACTGCGTAGAGAGTTACCAAAATTATTAGGTTACAAATTAATTCGCAAAAGTTGGGAACCAAAGCTTCAGACCAAAAATGGGTCATTAGGATTCTACTTTGTTAATCAAAAAACGCTGAAAATTATAATGTCAATCGAAGCAAGTTATATAAGGTGAGCCTCATACACAATCAAAAAAAGATCTGGATGGGCAAAAATGCCTAAAACCTGTATAGGAGAAAAAATTTTAACACGCTGGCCAAAAAAGTCATTTCTAATAGATATAACTCAAAATCTGTATTTCAAAACAAATTTCAACGCGGAAGCTAAGCGGAGCTTCGCAACACTTCCGATACGATTAAAACATTGTACTACAATTTTTTTTTGAAAAATCAAGTTGAAAAAGTTACTTGAAGTAGAAAAAAACAATATCTTATAACAAAAATAATAACAAAAACAAGAATAACAAAAACTTTATAACTTTTTCCCGGAGAAGGCTCATAAAAGCCTAAGCAAGCATTTCAGTTCTTTAAAAAAATCAGAAAAGGCAAAAAACTTGAGCAGCCCTCGTTAAACCGAAAACGAAACTAGTCATAAAAAATTTTCGAGCTGTAAAAATTTTTAAATCAAAATTTATACTACCAGTGCCTCCTGACAAAGGCAAAAACGTTTTTTTAAAATCGCCCGTAAAATTACGAAAAAAAGTTGAATAAGACGATAACATAAATAGAACATAAATCGAACCCGATAAACCGAAAAAATATAAATTCAAAATCAGTTGGTGAATTTACAAACTACAGAAAAATTTCAATTGTGCTACTAGGAGCCCATCTAAGATGTACCAGAGCTTCCCACAGCCCATTCAGTTGATTGAAGGACTGTTTTTGTTTTCAAGAAAAGTCAAAAGATTCAAAATAATGGTCAGAAATCAGAACTTCGAACTAACCGAGAGCAATAATGTTTTGTAAAAAAAGTTGTAAGGTCTTCAGCAGGGAAGCTTTCCTAAGCCTGCTCCATACATTGAACTCATAATCTCAGATTTGGGAGGGTTGTTTTTGCGAAAAATTCTTGTATAGTAACAAATTATTGTACAGTAACAAATTATTGTTTGCACCATCATGAATAAAAAACCTTAACTTAGGAAAGAATAAATTTGAAATGTGAACAAGATGTTATAAAAAGCATTTGAAAAAAAACGGAAAAAAGCCAACAAAATTAGGACAAAAATCATGTCCCAAAAACTTAAACTTCTTTCAAAACATATGTTTAAAAAATAATTAAAACCTCAAGAACTAAAAACTAGTTTTAGTTGAATTTTTAGGAGGTTGAGCAAGCTTGTCTGCGCAGAAGCAGAAATGTACGAAAACTTTTTTACTGGAGAAGATGTTTACTTCCCAATTACAAGTCACTTACTCTCGCAACTCAAGTATTTCACCCAAATTTTTCGAGGTTTTACCCTTTTAGATCTTTGTTAAGCTGTGTAACAGACTTGTTTTGATATTACTTTCTCGCAAATTAACTTGGTAGTTTCAGCGTAATTTTTGATCATTAAAAAGCCAGAATGACTTTTTTGGGTAAAATTTGAATGAGAATTTCGGAATAATTTGCACCATAATAATTTTGGTAGAAGTCTAAGCAAATTTTTTCTAATCACTTTGTTTAATTGCAACCCAAATTTAGAAAAACGCATTCAAAATTTCCAATGCTGTTCGTTTTGTGAAATAATACTGTGGTTCCTGCCAAAAGCAGAAAAGCGATCAGTAGGCCTTAACAATCGTCGAGGATAATTCATTTGTATCGCCTCCCCCCATTTCAGACTAAGTTATTTTAAGCGGAGCTCTTTTTTGCGAATCAAGGCTGTTTTTTTTGCGTCTAGAACTTTCACGAGGTACCACTATTGCAGCCGATATTGGCCAGGAAGTGGTAGACCTGAAGCTAGAGGTCAAGTGGGAGCTCGTCCTCACATCCTATCATTGCCAAGGCACGGACTCGAATACACGATCTGACGATTTCAAAGTGAACGCCTTACCACAACTATGCTGAGTGCCTCCAAAATTTTTCCGAAGCTTCTTGAGCTTGTAAGGATAATATAATCAGCACTGTAAAATAACATTCAAGTTGTTTCAACTGTGATTCGTTCGGTTCGGTACTTCTGCTTTTATAATTGTTACTCTTTATATTGTATTGGCTATAACGCTTGAGTTCGTTAAAAAAGGCATTAGTATTTAGTTATTATCTAGTTTTTAGTCCCTCCTTTTTCCACACGCAAAAAAAATGAAAACTAGACACTTGCTGCCTCAAATGTAAAAAATTCATATTTTTTTTCAGAACTAACTGCAGTCGGAACATTAGCTCTACCAGCACAGCAACCACCCATTCTTGTTTAAATTTAAACTAGTTGAAAAATATAATATATTGCAAAAATTGGAACAAAATGAAAATTTCGAACATAGATAAAACATACGTCTCATTCAATACCCCGAACAAAATAGACCAGTGTAAAACTTCATTAAATCAAGTCCAGTCAGATAGCTAAAGCAATTAAAAGAAAATCAATACTTAGGCAGCATAAATAGAAAGAAAAAGGATTAACATTAGTCCTTTGAGTTATCGCTATCTTCGCCTGACAAAGAGTCATACTCTAAACTTGTATCACGAGTTTTACTGCTGGATTTTCTTTTGTGCTTTTCGGAGGAAAATTCTGTTTTGGATAGTTTGTTCTTTTTGGAGCTTTTCTTCTTTGATTTCTTTTCTTTTGATTTTTTCTCCTTTTTATCGCGTTTCTTTTTCTTTGGAGGCGAACTAGCCAGTTCTGGAATATTGCAAATAAGCGCTGCTCGCCTCTTCAAATCCAAAAGCTTCTCTTTTTGAGACGATCGCTCAACAACAATTGGCGGTGATTTTTTAATTTCTACGACAGGCTGCAAAATTAAGGGCGAATTTCTGGTTTCAACTTCAGAATGCAAAACTTGTGGAGAAACTTTAGTTTCTGGAAAACATTCTGTATTTTCTTTTGGAGTTGACTCAATTTCTCGTGACGGTATTTCCTGGATATTCAGCGAGGGCATTTCGGCCGATGATTCCGAGTCCAAATCATCATCGAACGTCGGATTACCGGGGGAATATCGTGCACCGGTATCTGACGCATTCACGTTCTGAAATTTGGAGAAATCTATTTTAAAATCAGAGTTCTCGGCACGTGTTTGAAGGTCAGTTTCGTCCGCTTCCTGTGGTTTTGTAGGATTATCTGTTTTTTGATATGTTTCCTCGCTCGATTTGAGTTGCGAAAAAGTTATCTGCCTAGAATCGGATTTTTCTGAAGATACAGGAACGATCGGAAGAGTATTCTTTTCACTACTGTTTAGCTCGTCTGTTTCACCTGATTCATCGTCTTCACTTGAAGAGCTACTTATGGAAATACTTCTTTCTCTGTTCGCGAGAAACCCTTTGGTACAAGACGCGGAATAATCCTTAGACGTAGAATAGTTTAGCAAAACAGAAGACCGATTTCCTGTGTTTTCAACTTCATTTTCAGATTCTGACGATGGCGATAGGGAGGGACTTTTGAGAGCGGCAACCCGATTTATTTTACGACCATTTGAATGGCCATTGCTTTTCGAGCCAGAGTATTTATTAGGCTGAGAATTCTGCGAACTCGATTTGAAAAAGTGTGAGTTTTCCCACTGTTTGAGGAGTTTTCTCGCAAGGTTACACGCAGGGCCATCGTCATTTTTAACCCACGAGCGAACCACTGGTTCAATTCCAGACGACTAAAACAAAATAAATGCCAAATATAACGTAGCAGCGATGGCACATGACAAAAGTCTGACGCTCTCAGTCGAAAGATTTCTGGTTCAAGATCCTTCAGTGCAGGGGCGGATCTAGGATTTTCTCGGGGTTCGGCGAAAATTTTGTCGACTTTTTTTTTAGATCGACCGAATTGATTTTTCGAGCTCTCCCTAAGCACGTTTTAGTCCCTGTTTTGGCCAAATTTTCTGCGCCGCAGGCAATTTTGAAAAAACAGTCCAAAAAAGGCGTTTTTAGGCACTTTTTGGAAAATTTTGACCAGAAAATCGCGTTTTTTCGGCGCGCGCTCCCCCCTCAAAATAAGTATATATTGGCGCCAAAGGCGCCTTTAGAAAAATTTTATGGTCGGTCGGCCAAAAATAGATTTCTTAAAAAGTACCAAAGGGGGACCCTTTGGGTCGTCAGGGGGTCGAATCCATGAAAGGGGGGGCGTCCCCCCCCCTAAATCCGCCCCTGCTTCAGTGCTCGTTGGTTGAGAGCGAACTAAAATTTCTTATCCAAGAAAACACAGAGCCAACTGACAGTTGGAAAACAGAAATAACAGCAAAAAAACGACTTGTTTGTTTTGAAAAAACTTCAACTTTCGAATTAATGATTGGTACTTTTTTTGATAAAATTAACCCAATTTGTTAAAACTGTTTTTTCGGCGCGCGCTCCCCTCTCAAAATTAGTATATATTGGCGACGCCCCCCCCCCCCTAAATCCGCCCCTGCTTCACTGCTCGTTGGTTGAGAGCGAACTAAAATTTCTTATCCAAGAAAACACAGAGCCAACAGACAGTTGGAAAACAGTAATAACCGCAAAAAAAACGACTTTTTTGTTTTGAAAAAACTTCAACTTTCGAATTAATGGTTGGTACTTTTTTTGATAAAATTAACCCAATTTCTTAAAACTGAATAAATTTTTATTTCCGCTGGGAAACCTGAAAGTTAAAATCCACTTTCAAAATAATGAGTCAATCACGTTTTTCACAATGGAAAAGAAATGAACTTAGAAAAAGTCAAACCGCGAAAAATCAAAACTGAATGTAAAAAAAACTAGACTTTTTCTTGAAAAGAAAACCAAAAAAATCACCAAGACCTATATAAGAATCTTCAATACGTTAATTACAAATACATTAAGTACAAAAACTTAATAAATGAAATTTAAAAAATCAAAATGCGGCCAAAAAACAAACAGAAAACAGATAGTAAGTATGTTATTATTATCACTAACATAGCAAACAGATACCTGGAAAAGTATCAGAGAAATCCGGTTAATAAAAAAGAAGACTATAAAAAACAAACATTAATTGAAAAACATACATCGCATAAATCAACTCTCAAAAAAATCTATCAGCAAAAACTAGGTTTCGAATTTGAATATCTTTGAAAATCAAATACTCTCAAAATACATCGATCAACAATAGTAAACCGGAAAAAAAGGAAAAACCGTAGGAAAAAATAACACTTTCAATTTCTACAATTTTTTATATTATTAACTTTTTTCATAAAACTAACCCAATTGCAGAAAGCTGAACAAAACTAAAAGAAAAATTGAAAGAACGAGAACAAAACTGAACAAAACCACGAGGAAATCCATTTGAGAAAAATAGATGACAAAACAAAAGCAGAGATGAGATTCGTACAACTTGCCTTACAACTCTACGTAGCAACTGAGGCCCAGGAAACCAAGTCGCAAAAATTCTACATACAAAAACGTCCATAAAAACTTCGAAACATTTGCTCGCATGTTCAATTTGAGGAAGACATTCGAAGAAACACACTTTACAGCGTTTAATTAGAATTTTTAAAAATATCGAGCGCCATCTAAGCCAAAAAAACTTGGGTAGACGATCGATGAACTGAAACCAATATCTCACCATAAAAAATGTGAGCTTATAATTTCGAAGATTCCGCCTGAAAAACCAATAGAACAAATAAATCTATTTCTGCCCTTACAATGACGACGCAGTATGAGATGACTAAGCCAACACCACATTTGCCGCTAAAAAGGAAAAAGAATTATACAAATCAGATGTCGACAAATTACGAAGTACGAGAACATATCAAATAGCCTTGCAATTCTAGAAAAAACGTGATTCAATCAGAAAACAATTGCATTTCCTGTACGCCAAAAAGCATCTAAATAGTAGTCCAAAAATAGATTCTCCCAGGTAAAAAAAAATCATTTTACACAGGTGAAGCGGAGCTGCGCACCACTTGCGATGCACCAAAAAAAATGAAAAATTTAACTCTACCGAATTTTAAATTTCTCAATAAATTTCGATTAAAATTCATACCAGGAAAAAATACCAGCAATTTGATTAGGAAATTAGCAAAGGAACAAAATTTACAAGGAGACAACAAAATCCACAATCTTCGAATAGACAAGTTGATCCGAAAAAATGATTTAAAAAAATATTTTAGTTTTGAGGCCCACATGAAACTACAATGAACAACTTATGCACTTGTTACTACAACGAAGGTTGCTTACAACACAAGAAAACCAGCAATGTAGCAACTAAGCCGGCAGTCTTTAAGCAGATCAGTTGCACCAAAAAAAATGATTTCAGGAAAATTAACTTTCAAATTCCCACCTAATATTAGAATGAAAACGTTTGCACTCGCAAGAAAGTTACTTAGAGCACAAGCAAAACCCGTGTTGTGGAAACTTAAGCGACAAAACTTGAGCAGACAAGCGAAAGTCCGAAAATTCAATTTTCACCAACTTTTTTTGGTCAATTGCATACAAACTAAACACAACTAAAAACGCAAGGTCCGGCCGAGATGTGACCCCAGACATGAGGATGCAAATGCGACGGCATTACCGCTATGCCAAATGTAAGGAACCTAATATATATATTAAGGTTCAATACTAAAGAAAAGATTTGTAAAAAGAACGGAGTAAAGAAGAGTAAACTGTTGTCATTTAAAAAAAAATTGAGCTATTAAGTTTTGAAGAAACTCATAAAAGTAGGAAAATATATTTCATCCTCAAAACTACGCAACATAATTCATATCTACGCAACAAAATTACGATCTTATTTTCAAGAACTTCATTTTATTATTTTAGGAAAAGCTATTACCTGAAACGAACTTCCCCCTATTACAGCCTAACTTAAAGTAGTTTTATTTAAATTTTCAAGAAATTGAGCATAACAGCAGTCGTGAAATTCGCCGTTCATACTAAAATTGAGTATGAATGGTATAAAATAAGTATACTGAGTATAAAATAAGCATACTTAGTTATTAACGGGACAAAAAGTCTTTTACACAAAGCTCTCCCCTTGAAAAACATAAAAATCCCCCCTGAAAAACATAAAACGACAGTTTTTGCCCCTAGTGACGACGCAGTATGAGGTTAGCAAGCCAATATCACATTTGCCGAAAACATTTATATCGATCGAAAAAACGTTACGAGTAGAAGTAATGTTTAAGAAAGAAAAAGAAATTATACAAAACCAGATGTCAGAAAGTATGCCTGAAGGAGCAGTATAAAAGTCCGATAATTAAATTACTCCCAGAAAAAAAATATATAATCAGTTTCTTGGACATATATAGAAAATGAATTACTGGCCACAAAAGATCACAGGTTCTTCCATCTCAAGCATGGACACTAATTAAACAGGTCCAATTGGTACCTCTGAATTAAACAGGCCAAATTCGAACCTTAGTTTCGAAATACTTTTAAAGCAAGCTCAGCAAATGATTCAGTGACTCTGTTATACAAGTTGCTAATCACCCAAGTTTTTATTCCGGTCTGATAAAGCTTGCTAATCGCAAGCGTAAAGAAACAAAACTTCAAACAATGAAAATTAAATTAGCTTTTCTTTTAGCATGGTAAATTGCTTTAAGCAAAATTGCCAACAGAAGGTTGGAAAAATTGAAAACAAGGAAATCTAAAAAATATCATAACTAAAAGCATTTGAATACTTTTCAACTTTCGATGAAAAACATCAGGTTGAACTTTTTGACAAAAATAACCCTAATTAATTAATCTGGATCAATGAATTTTTTATTCAGCTGGGAAATCTTAAAACTAATTTTCACTGTCGCAATTAGCAGTCGTTCATATTTTATGGCAAATGAATTTGAATGGGCCTCAAAACGTCGTGCATATATACCCAAGTTCACTCATTAATGCATTGTTTTCTGATTAAAAAAGTAATAAAAAATCATCAAGTCCTATATAAAAGAAAAGCACTTCATTCGTTTACACTTAAGAACCGCACAACCCCAATAAACATTTTCACAACATTCAATGACACTTGACACCAAGGCAAACTCGCCGACGGAAAACAATACCCGAAGCGCCCAAGTTCAAAAACCCAATCTAACAGAGTTCGAATGTTTGTCTTGTATCCAGTATATTTTCAAAAAATAAATTGATCTAGAATAACGATTGGAACAAATTTAACATAGAGGCGAAGCTGAGCTTCACACAACTTGCGATACAAAACACGAAAGCCGCTAAGTAAAAAAAAATTGAAAATTTCGTACTAAATCTATTGATAAGGCTACATTTGGGACAACAACGAACAAAGAAAATAGAATGTAAAACTAGCATCGAAATAAAAAGTTATCACGCGGTAACAAAGCCGGAAATACCTTGGCAAAAATCCGATAGGCCGAAAAACTTAAAAATGTATCGAGTACCTCAAACAAACATTAACACACACAGAAACTTTATTCACGCGTCAAATGAAACATTATGCGGCCAATATGACGATATAATATTGGCAGAAACCTAATTAACCAGGAAAAAAATTAAGGTTATAAGTTAATAAGTCCCCCTCAACCTCAAAACACAAACACGCACAAGCAATTTTTTTCGCCCATCAAAAGGCGTAATATGCGGCCATTAAACCGATATAACATAGGTCCAAACTTACCAAGCCGAAAAAAGCCAAAAAAACTTGTCATGAAAAACTTTAACTCTAATTTCTATAAAGATTTTCAGCATTTTGTGTGATCCAGAGGTGAACATAAAAACTACGTTTTTCATGAAACCACTCAAAATTAGACCAATAAGCCGATATAAAACAGGCCCAAGCCTATTAAACCAAAAAAGGACAAAATAAAATTTTACAAATCGAGTTGGAAAAATCACAACCAACATAAAAAGCAAATTTTGAAAAGAGCGTAACAAAGCCGATAACACCAGAGCAGTCACCTGCTGAGCTGAGAAAAATTGTGAAAACTTAACTCGAAAGGTAGACCCTTTCATTAAACACACATGTAAAAGAAACTTTTAACGCTCATCAAACGGCGCAATATGAGGCCGCTAAGATGATATAGCCGAAACCTTTTAGCCGATTAAATGAAAAAAAATGAAGAAACAAGTTATACCAAATCAAAGGGGTTAAATTATAAACATTACACAGGCGAAGTTGCACTTCACATACACAAGCAATAATATGACCGCTACTGGGAAAACTGAATGAGTAAAACTTTGAGTCTACAAAATTCTATAAAGACGCACGCCAATTATGAGTCTACATGATTGTTAAGTGACGCAAGCAAACTATGACGCATAAGCAGTACCAGTAAATTTGAAAAAAGAAATTTACCAACTAACATGCCTCAATTTATAAAGCGGATGCATTTTAACTAGTATAGTAGTAGTAGTAGTAGAACAGGATTTAGGGTTGTTATCCCAGGGGTTTGCACCCAAAATGTAGTTTTAGTGTTAATGAGTTCTGAGTTTTCCATTTGGGTTACAGTTTCCACATGGACACATTATTCGCCATGTGCAGATGTCAATAAAATTCCGCTATGTCAGATTTCTGTATGTCAGTTAACTGTTTTGAGGTATGTCGAATTATGACATTGAAAAGTGCTGGGCATCTAATGAAGAAGTCTGAGTTGGTTTTCCTACGGCGAGTTTTCGGTATTTGATATTGGTTTCTTTCATCTTGTCTCGTTGAGCTTTTGGTGTTTTCGGCATATTGGTTAATGTCAATTTCATAGTTATTGCGAACTATAGAAATGAAGAGAAGGAGGTCGTGCATTTCTATGTACAGAGACAGCGGTAGCATTCTTAATTTTTGTAGTCTACACTAATATAGGATATGTGAGTTAAGCATCCATTTGGTCGCCGTTCGCTGAACCTTTTCAATTGCTCGGAGGTTTGATTTCGAGTAGTGCGTTACTGACGCGCCATAAACTACAATTGGGACTACATATCCCGTGTAGGCATTTAGCTTAGAAGTTATAGGACAGTTTTTAGAGAGGTTACGCTTTAGTGAGTAAAAAACCGATAGCGACTTCTGACAACGCTTAGACGCATTTACATTGCACGAGAGGATGGGTGTTACTAAAATTTCTAGATCCTTTTGTTCAGTTTCGATTTTTAGGATATTTCCATTAATTTGACCTTCCAGCTCGTTTTTGAAATTAACGAGAGCACATTTTCCGGTACTTAAACGCATTTGGTTTTTACTACACCAATTTTCAATTGTTGTAGTGGCATAGTTCATTTCTGTTTGAGTTGTTGCTATAACCTTAAAGTCATCAGCATATCCAAAAGAGTCAACTAGATTCAAGTTATCTGGTAAGTCGTTTATATATAGTATGAAAAGTAATGGTCCCAATAGAGAACCTTGAGGGACACCACTTGTTACGTAACATATCTTAGACTTTGCTTTGTTTATTCGCACATACTGTTTTCGAAGAAATAAGTAAGAGGCTATTAGTTGAATTGCTTTTCCTCCAAAAACCATAACACTTCAATTTATGCATTAAAAGTTGATGCGGAACGCAGTCAAAAGCTTTTTCAAAATCTAGATAGAGCGCTGTTATACTTTTGGTCGTTTGGTCATCATAATTTAGGTACACTTGATGTAAGTAAGCAAGGAGTTGGGTAATTGCTGAACGTTTTTACGAAAACCATATTGCGAGTTATGAAGATGATGTCGCACTCTTTCATAAATGTAGTCAAAACCTTTTCGAAAATTTTTGAGATACAGCATAGTAAACTTATCGGTCTGTATCTTTTAATATCGCATTTGTTCGCATCTTTGAAGATTGGGACAACTTCACTTAACTTCCACGTTTCTGGGAATATACCTAATTCAAAAAAAGTTTGAAAAATTAGGAGGACTAATTTTGATACTGTATTCGCTAAATTTGTGTAGACAAGATTTCCCAAATTATCTGGACCTGTTGCTTTATTGATGTCTAGTTCGAGCATTATTTTCTCAATGCAGTCTTTATTCAGCTTGATGCGGTTCTATTTTGCTTTTTCAAAGATACTTAATTCGGTTATTTGTTCCATTATCGAAGGTCAAGTTTCATTATCGAAGGTAGTCTAGGTGCTCTTCTTATGCTTCGCAAATACTTCTGAATTGTACTAAACTTTCTTGCAAAAATCTCTAATTCGTAGTTTTTCAGATCTTTATCAGCAGAAATTACTAAAGCAAAAGTTCATTAAAAACATCCGACCCTGCTCAAGTTCCAACCCTCTTATTCTGCTGCTGGTCTCCTTACCTACCTCTACGCTACATATCCATGATGCCTTGAAGCTAAAAGGTTATTTGTAATATAAAAGTCAGTGTTAATATCCTAAGCATTGGCTGTACTTAATAGCTGGACCAAAATGAACACTTTCAAAATGAACACATTTTGTCGCAACAATTGCATCGCAACAATATTTGCGACTTAGGTTGGGAAAAAAAGAATTTTCATACTATGACACAAGCTATATTTGTGTAATAAAAACCAAACTCGAATAAAAGCGTTTAGAAAAAACGCTGTCATCCTCAAAATACAAGTTGGTGGACTAGTAAAAAATAGAGTTCAAACAAAATTCATATCAGTGATTGTTCATTTTTATCTATGATACAATTAGATAAAAAGTTTAATAGTCAGATGGAGGAAAAAAAGAAATTTATTTCATGTTGATCATTTCTCAGCAAACAAACGGCCATGTCTTAGAGAGAGGGTTGTTTTGTAATTTGAAATGAATCTTTTCACGAAAATGTGATTCAAGCCAAACTTGTAAGCGGTATGGAATATAAATTATCTGCTGCTTGTTTAGCAACACAAAAGATAAGTTCTATCGCTATATTTAAAAGGACCTTATAGACATGATACATTTTCATTTAATTTTCTAGATCTGCTTGCCTACTGATATCAACGTTGAAAAAACAAAGAATATTCTAGATCATTCCGTTCAACCTACTATTGCACTAAAACTTTGTCTGAGAATTCGGTGCTGTTTTCACAGCAACCTGATATTAGTTAATGATTTCTAGTTATAACTATAAACACGAACTTAATTCTCATCAATCTCATTAAAGTCAACTCTATGCTGTGCATCAACAGTCTAGTACCCAAATGCTAGTTAATTACAGGAAACTTCTACGGACCTGTACTCAAATGGGCTCGAATATATATCATCAAACACTGAAAGTTGGAAAAGATTAATGAACGCAAGGAAACAAAAAAACTTTTTTAAAATTGTAAAGAAAAACATATGCCCTTAAAAGCTCTTCGAAATTTACGAACAAATTATGATGGTTGCTTTTTGATAAAAAATAACCAAATTTGAGAAAATTGGATCAATAGATAATTGGGAAGTCTGAAATAAGAATCAGCTTTCGTAACTGAAAGTTGAGCACTTTATAAACCTTTCTCCCAGTTTAGCTTTTTTCTTTTTCTAGTACTTGTTACTATTAGCAAAAAAACTTACCTCTAAAATTTGCCTTGAAGTAATGCAGAATTGCAAGCGCTCCAGTGATACCATAACCTGAACAAAACTCAATTTGAACAAACAAAATGCATGTTAAGTGACCAGTGTCGAAATTATGAGTCAAATGTTCAACAAGGAGCGTTATTTGAACGTACTTACATCTTTATAAGAAGATTCCTTTATTCGCAAAATGCGCGAATACTTTGTAATTTTGTGAGATATATCTTCATCACTCATATCATACAAATTAGGAACCTGAAAAATGAGACATTGAATATGTATATAAGCATATTTTCACTTTTTTTGTAAATCAGAAAATATTTTTGTAAACTTAGTTTACCAACATATTTTCTCATATACAAAAAAAAACTTACTTCATCAATTAACCCAGTCATTTACTTCATCAATTAACCCAGTCAATACACCAGTGGAATTTCATTCAGGAAAATAAAGTTGAGCCTAAAAAGTTTAAGAAAAACACTTGAATTTCAAAATGAAAATAGTTTCAAATGTGCAAGTGTATGTCAGATTTTGATGAAAAAGAAGTGAAAATAACTTTACATTACTAACAAGGTATAATATCAAGTTCAATCAACCAAGTCGAATCAAAAGTGCCGATTTCAAATTGACTTCATGGACCTGCCAATACCAAACTCATTAATTAGTCTACCAGCATTCGTTAAAATTACTTTCTGTATCATTTTGTAAATCATCCCATGAATAAAGCTCTTATGAGACACATCTTCTTCTCAACTCTCTCAGCATTACTTAGAAGGTTATGGGCCCAGACAATTCCTGACGCAACCAACACCAAGACGATCTGCCAGCCTAACCAGCCGGATCGAGACGCAGGTGTATCGAGCTACAGCCTAACCAGCACGGAAAAGTGAGTATAAGACGACAGAAGAAGTGTTCAGAGCTGCAGAGCGAACTAGACAAGAAGTACATATCGACGGAAAATAAAGCTAAGTCCTAAGACGACTGGCCGACGTCTAAACAGAGCTCTACATGCTTTTCACCGTCTCTACCAAAGCCAGTTCTTTTGATGGTCTTTTCAACATCGGGTCGACAAAAACGTTACTGTTCTCCGGCTTCGACCAGAACGCTCTAATTAACTTAATTACATGCAGAATTAGTGAGCTCATGGCTGGGTCTCAGTATCCCCAGACAACGAGGTCACTCCTAAAAACAGGGCTACTACTATTTGTTATATTACTATTGTTTTTGTTCAGTAGATAAAAATCATCATCTCCGTCGAAGATGGATCAACCCTTTCCCCTAACTCCTAGCTTCTCATCGTCAGAATATGAATTCAAACGTTAAATAAATTCAATTCAGGACATAATCGGGAAGCTAAAAGTTTATAAAAATGCTTTCAGTTCAAGTCCCGAGGCCCCTTCGGATTCCTGAATCCGGGGAAATAACACACTTATCTCCTCTCCGGAAGGCTGTTTTCTACCCTACACCGTTGTTGTGAATGGCCTTGCAACGATTGTAACGACACAATCGTTGCAACTCGGAGCGTTCTCTGCTAATTCTGCTATTCCTTGTTGCTTTTTTTATCGCAATTCTCGTTGTTGTCGTCGTTGCAACTATTGTTGTTGTGTTACATCTGGATTTTCTTCCAAAATGACAGTTTTTGACGTTTCTCAGAAATATGAAGTCACCATTCGAAATTTTAAAAATTTGAAATACCAGAATATTCTAGCCTTCACCGTTTGACTGTTTGTTCCAACAACACTGTTAATCCTTCAAAACTGCCAATTCGGAAGGCTAGCTGCTAATAATACGAATCTGCATTTTCGTCTATTCTGGTCGAGTGTCACATAATCACCGGACAACCCGGTCAATGTCCCCATTGAATCTCGCAATCTTCGTAAAAAATGTTACAGTTTCATCGAACAGAATTTACAAAATTCACGAAATTACTCTTATCCACGTCATATCGACTGACTGCAGAATATAAATGGCATCATACTACACTACTATAGCCTTTCAAACTCTTTCTTTAATCTGCACTTTCGATGATATGACTTAAGATAAAACATTTTTTCTGACTTCCAATGTCAACGCCCTGATTAAAAATTTTTTCTCCTAGGTTTTAAAGGTGTTAGTTTGCAGGACAGTCCTGCCAACCAACAAGCTAAAATTACCCTCCTATGCTTCTTCCCTTCGGAAATTTTCGTTGTTACTGGTCCTAAATTTTAAAATTAAGAAACTCTGTGGTTAGAAAGAACAATAAAACAATCTTCCTCGTCAAGAGATTATCCAAGTCTTTCATGTCACCACAAAGTGATCAGTCGTCCTAGTTGAATAAAAACAGTCATGCAGGCTGGAATATTTAAATATACTCTTTACTCAAGCCTTTCTAAATAAGTAGTAAGTATCTCTAAAGCTACTAACTAAAATCAAACTGCAAATTTATAAATGCAACAACTTCTTTGATGTTCAAAACTCCACTAAATGTTTTCTTTCAGTTTTCAATTACAACTTGGTTGCTGAGTTTCTCACTCGAGTTTTAATCACACATATGAAACAATTCTGAGTTTTAACTTATTCTCTTTCGTCACTTCTTTGTTTCTTCTTTTTTCGTCGTTTAGAAGTTCTAAAACTTGTAAGCTTTTCTAGTTTTCTTTCTTTCTTGCATCTTGTTTTTCGACCATTTGTCAATGTTCCATCTCCTCCTCCTGCGACATTGACTCTGCACTAACAGTTTTTGTGTCTTGAAACACATCGTTAGCTATTCTGACGCTGTTGAAAGCAGTCCTCCAACACTTCGGCTCTTCTACCCGTTGTTTACACAAGGTAGGGATCCACATTAGATTCTCTGTTCGTACAGAAGCTGTTGTGGAGACACAACGTCACGTTTCTCTCTAAATCTTCCTTCAACATCTCTTCTTTTTCCCTTCCATTAAGTTCATTTGTCCTGGAAATTCTCTTCACAGCGTTGGTCACTGCATTCCGATGAGTTACGAAAGCTCGCTTACAAGCTCCTGCCCCAATGTCTAGCTGATACACACTGTACACTCTGCCGTGCTTCGACATGTGCTTCTTGGCATATTCGTACAACCATGCATTCATGTTGGCTCTAAACCATGGCATCATTCGCCTTCTTGCCCATATCTTTTTCACTTCCATCGGAATTTTCAGAATCTTGCACATGGTTTCAAAAAGATCTAAACCTTTTAGACAATGCAATTTCTGCAATTGATCTCTCGTTGGCGCCTCCTGTCTATTGTTCACCTTCACATGAGCTTCCAGCCATCGTATCGCCATCATAACTACCACTATCACTATTGTTATGGGCAGTGATTAGTCTGGTAAACCCATGGAGAGCAGCTCTCCGGAGTCCCAGATCAACACCAGATTACTACGCTCGGGGTACCACCATGTTTGCAGCAAGCAATGGTAGGGAAACTCATCATCTGTCAACATGATGCTCCTCCAATTACGCTTTCCCGAAGCTTCCAGTAGTGGTTCCACTTCCATCATCACTCGGTGGACTTCATCATTCTCATCTAATTGTAATCTGTGACGGTTGATCCTCTCTGTTTCTGTCTCTCAAAGTCACTGAAGTTCCCAATCACGTATCCCATGAACTTCCTTCCCAGTATCGACTCCAACTCCTCTTTTGTTCTCTCTGGAACCGCTGAGAACATCTTACATAGCAAATCATAAGAATTTTTGGACATTCTCGCTAGTCTTACACACTTTGACACTGAGAAGGCTTGATCCACGATCGTTCTCGTACTTTTTACATCCACAGCTACAAAAAAGACTGGGTATCTACTTTGCACATTGAAACTAATGTCGATCTCATAAATATCGCGCTTCCGATTGCCTGCGATAAGTCTCGCTGTGTCGGATCGGATGTTCATCTCCGCCTCGATCGCTTCCCTCCATTTTCCTATGTGCTTTTACTCAGTCTGCAAAACTCCTGGGAAAACTTCTACACTGATGGCTGTGACCATCTCAAGTTTCTGTTCTAGATTCAATAGTGACTCTAAAGAACCAAACATACTGTAGAATCCTAGTGCAGTCACTAGATTCCCCTCGGTTCCTCCATGGCAATCTGCGATCAATTTTGTTTCCGTTTTTGCTTTCATCACAATTTTCTCAAACAATATTGTCAACTGCTTGTGTTGTTTCTCTAGGGTTTTCACGCAATCCAGGCTTCCACAAATGTGACCTTCCAGTCCACAGACTTCTGCCAGATAGCTACCAGGTTTAAACCAGTCTTCTGGTCCCCCGCCGGGCAACTCCACTTTGTCTTCCCCGTTGCTCTTAGTGGCTGTTGTAATCACATTATATATGATATAGAGATCACGCAGGTCACAAGGTTACAGTCTGAATTTAGTTCTCTCTGCACATCTTGTGTTGCCTGTAGTATCGAGTCAGCGTTAGGACTAGGACACCACGATGGTCTCATCAGCTCCCACACTACCATCAAGCTCGTTCTCAGTAATTCATCTGAGAATCCCAATCGAAACTCCACTCGTTTGTTGGATTCTGGCTCTGAAGGTGCAGCCACTTTTTTTCCAAGACTTGTCCCAGTTTGGTCTGCGGATTAGCAGCGCTTTTTATCGTTGCAATTCTCGATGTCCAAAACCTCAGCAACACTGCTTGCTCGTAATCAAAGAAGCAATCGCGTATGTCTTCATTAATGGAAGGGTTGTATGCCATGTAACTGTAGGATTTCTTCCTGATCGGTCCGCAATATTCACTGGATTTCGGCGGTGCTCCCATAGATTCCTTAGTGAGTCTCAGCTCCTTGTTTGAGAATCTCCTGATTTCGTCTTTTTTCCTCATGGGCTCAAGCTCCACGGGTTCTTTCATGTTCACCCTCATTGGTTTGCTTTGATGCATATTCAGCAGCAGTTAGCAAAAGTAAGGTTTTCGCTCGTTCATCACTTTCTCTCAGCATCATGACACAACTGTTCAATGCTGGCACTGAAATTTGCTCAATCATGAATCGGATGAAATAGAGACGGTCTCTCCGCTTCGCGCATGCTACTGCTGCTCCCTTTTGGGTTATCAGATCCCCCAAGCTCGTCATGAGGAAGACCTTTTCTTGTTTTGATCTCTTCCTTTCTTCTGAATCATATTCCTTGCGTGTCAGTCCGATCATGCACCAGGCGAACCTCAGTTGTAATTCAATTCTCACGTAAGGTACTGCTATCAGAGCGTGTATCTTCGGCGTGGTCCTCATCTCTTCTTCGAAGTACCTTAACACTACTGCTTTCCATGGTAGGCTCAA